ATGTGCCTTAAAACGATTGTGTCAAGGCTAAGAGGCCATTTGAAATTTCAAAGATTTGTGGCGAGAGACTCAGAGGTGGAGCAGTATTATGTGCATGTGGTTAACTGTGATGCAGAGTAAGTTTGTTGTAGGTTCAAGATGTGACACAGGACAGAAAAACGATAAAGCTCCGCTATTAGCGGTTGAACTGGCATAGTGGGTGTTCGATTCATGTTGGAGGCACAGGCTGAAACAGCATTTCCAGCTGGCAAAAACAATCTTACTGTGGTCTGTTGTCATGGAATATCAACAGAGATGTTATTTCTTAGTCGATCCTCACAACAGAATGAAGTTGACACAAACTGTGGACCTCACTCATTGTTATTTTTATCTGTTATCGTTATGTTTTTTCAAGGAAACCGTGGGTTTTGTGAAAAAACATGCATTGTTACTTGCTTTAGTGGAAATGGATGATATTGGTGCATTACACTGTTGGGAAATTTAACTAAATTCCATTTGTTGATTTAAAAGGGCACTCCAGTGATTTACTATTCCAGCTTCACCAGTTGGGAGGCCTGCAGAAGACACTAAATAACAGTGCATGCAGCAGTGGATGAAATATCTTTACTTTCAGTTTGGCTCAAGCTCCAGAAATGCATCGGCTATTATGCAACTCAGTAGCCTTTTAAAGTAAGCTCCATAGACTGTATATAAACAATGGATTTAAAAAGCAGCGTCAGTGTTAAGACATCTTAAATTTACATTCTTTGTAATGGCCAATAGAGGATCGACTTCTGTGGTTGTAAATGGACTTGAAGTCCAAAAGCACTTTTTACCACAAACCTCATTCACCCAATCAAACACAAAGCACTTTTACTGTTACTGTAGGCTCTGTATAATACTTACGTTCACACTCACACTCCGATGAATGCATCGGGAGCAACTTGAGCTTCAGTACCTTGCCAAAGGATTCTTCGGCATGCAGATTAGAGGAGCCAGGGATCCATTTGGTAGATGACCTGCTCTACCTCCTAAACCACAACCAGAGAAAATGTCCAGCTCATTTTGAGTATTGAGATTTATTTGTATTTCCCAGCTGGTTGCTGGCAGTTGCTGGGATATTATTGCTAAAGTCTGAATTGTGGAGATCTACAGATCAGTCAGTGACCCCCTGGCAACCACCTCTTGCTAAGAATCCTGTATTCCCCAGCTGATTAGCAAAAACCTCCTCCAAAAAAATGGAGGCTTACCTTCAAAGTTGCACGTTTTCAAACATGTTAGCTCTCCCTGGCAACCACTAGGACTCTCTGGCCCCTACTGGTCGCCAAGGGGTCCCCACATTTTTCTTTGGCCGTCGCTGAGGAAAAATGTGTATTTTGCAACTGGTTGGTAAAAAACTTGTTGATATACCTTTGGTCACTAGCAGATGGTCACAGTTACTCTTAGTTTGCATGGAATGAGCTGACTTGTCCACAAACACTGGCCAGCTAATCTCCGCAGGGAAGTGACACAAACTGGAAACAGAATGTTTTCCTTAAAAGTAGAAGTTGTGTCTTCTGCTTTTAGTTTGCAAGTGAATGTTCTCTGTTTCTAGTTTGCATCAGTGTTTGCAGAGAAGGAAGGCGCCGTCTTTCACGCAAACTAAAACCAACTGCAGCAATCTGCTAGTGACCAACGCAATTGCGAGGTGGTTTCTGGTGCAGTGCCTTATTTGCAACCAGCTTTACTCAGCTACAGGAACCACTTGCCAACTAGGCAGGAAATATACATATTTCCCTCATAACCATTGGTTGTATCGCGTCCAATATTGTGGAAAACTCTGAAATCACACGAGGAACCTCAAGAACCCCACAAAGTCATTCTCACTTCTCAATCACTGATTTCAAGTCTTATTTAATACAGTGTGATTTTTTTTTTTTTAAATATGGCCCATCTTTCAAGTTCACTTGATGAACAAGTTGGCCAAAATACTCAACTCGTAGATCAGGATCAAAGTCCAAAAACCTTGACGTATCCAAGTCCATCTTCTATATACAGTCTATGCTAGACTCCCCAGCCTACTAAATGCTGACAATAAAACTCCTCACTTTTTAACACAGGCTTTTTGATTTTCTCTCACGTGACAATGAGCCTCCACAGCCCCAAAAGATATTACAGTAGCTAAAGGACAAATCTGTGGAGTGTCCCTTTGAAGGAGTAACTGAAAGCACTTCCTTGCATTTATAGTAAAGACCCAATTTTTATGAAAGATTCACCACTGTTGGGAACAACCCATTTTTCTTCTTATTAATGTCTGTTTTTGTTCTGTGTAATGGCACTAAGCTAACAGGTCTCCCATAACCTTATTTTCTACATCAGACCATGTGGCTGTAGTGAAAGGAATACATACCAATTATGCCTTATGAACTAACCTCATAAACAAATAATATTATTAGTTATTGTGAATCACGTTAATGTTGATAAATCCTGTCAGAGAGTTCGATTCCGCCCAGAGACATGTTATGAGGAGGTCATTTAAAATGGCAACTCAAGAGCCAATGGAAGCAGCTGATACATTTTAAAAGAAAAAGAAAGAAAGCGAAATCTCTGCTTTCAGATGTAGTGTCTTGAATTACATATACTTGACTTTTCTAGTACCTTTTCAGTTCAAAATTGTTATTTTCTATGAATGAGATGTGTATTTTGGAACTCTTAATAGATGTTGAAAATTTTAAAGCAATCTGCAAAAAATCAAGAGTTATTTCCCTGACAAAGATCGACTGTTTTATGTATATATTTGATGGCCATCGTTTTCAATGATAGTAGCTCTTTTGAAGTGTTGAAGCAATATCAAAGCTTTTTCTCTTTCCGGCGTGAAGAAGGGCCTATTGCTGAGAAATAATCAAAGCTGGGAGTTGTTGTTTTTTTTCTTCTTCTTTATGTTTTACAATAATCTGAAGGGTTATCCTGCAGAAATATTTATGGAAAGACTTTTTACAACACTTTTTGTATAGAATATGCAACAAAGTTACACTAAGAAGGAAATATTGATGTCTACATAGAATATTATTAAAAAGAAAAAAAAGCTGGTACATACTTAATAACCTTTCTCAATTATAAGCCATTGTATTTTTTTTTCGGTGTTTTTGATTTATTGATGTTATCAGAGTTGAATAACCCATTATTCAGTTGCTATGTGACTAATTATGAGCTGCCATATGCATCCATACAGCCACGTGTATTCATTTTGTAAACGATATTATGAAAATATAATGTGTTAACATGCAGAAAAGTATGTTTTTATTAATTAGTGACGGATACTCACCACTGTATAAACGCATTAAACTGTGAGATGTAGTTTGGTTAAAGCAGCGATAACAAGAAACTATTATAAAATGTTATATTGGTAGTGTAGCGAGTGTATACTTCTGTCAAGGAAGCGTGTGTGACAAAGAACTATTTTAGAGTTTGCATGTGCATGTGTTTTGAATGAAATATCCCCGTTTTTGTGCAATGTATACCTATTTAAATACCTTACAGTAGTTTGCTAAAGTAAATATTGTTTTTAACATTATCAGCAACGTCTGATTGTTATTAGTCCTCATTTACCGCAAATGTAGCCTCTGCAGATAATACATATTTACTGAATGTAACGTGTTAACACTTAAGTGATCGAGTCAGAGAGTCTCGTTTGTATTCTTTACTGTCTGTATCACTTGAGATGTTTGTCATGCAGTATTGCAATAATGTAATATTTGATTTGGACAGAACGCAGGCGTGCGGTCGGGAAAGACAATGATTATGGGAAAAGCAAGGACAGTCGTGGCCTCGAGAGTCGACCACAGGTCTGTTTTTCATGTCCATGAAAACGGCATTCCAAAATGTGCCTTATTTGTTAGTTGGGAAAACATTTTAGTGCTGTTCAGAGTTTGATGAATAAAAGTCACATTGAATTAAAGCCACCCGGGTTGCGCAGTTTTCATTTGTTTTCGGGTCCTGTGCCGAATTTATGTTAACTGGGAGGTGTTCGTTCTGGTGTCTGATTTCAGCCAAAAGCAACACGTTGTTTTTGTGAGCGCTCCTCTTGTTAGTGTTTTTGCCATCGCTCTTGAGTGCGAGGCTTACGCAACACTGAGCGTATAGATTACGATAACGGGGCTTTTAATGGATTATTCATGGTGGTTGTGTAACGCAGAAGAGCGAGAGACTTGGAAAACATTTTTTTTCCACTTGCCATGAAAGTGCTGAGAGATAACAGACATGTAAACCGGCCAGGACGCACACCCCCTCCCCCATTTCCCAACCCTTGTGGACAGGAAAACCCCCCCCCCACAAAAAGATGCCCACTGACTCTGTGATAACGCAGACACTTAGAGAAGCAGCAGCATGCACCAGCTGTAAAGATGTCATTGTTTTGCATGTGTGGTAAAAAGAAATGGCACAGTCGTCTCCGGAGCCAAGTTTCCATACACATTATTGGACATGCATTCCAAATAACTAAAACTAAACCCGAGGGTGGGGACCCAAATTATATCAAGTTTGTTACAACATCTCCAGCTCAAACAGAGCGAGAGCCGAAAAATCTCTATGGCAACAATGTAATCTGAGAATTCAAACAAACGGAGGAAGGTCAGCACACATATGGTTTCATTTAGGGGCAAGAGCTGCCTTTTTCTTCTTCATTATTTACTTTTATAAAGTATTAGCTCGATAAGCAGCACCACCCAGTCTCTGGCTTTCAGACATGTCTCTCTCCCTCTTCAAGACGCCCTGCGTCTCAATAAAAAAGCAATTTCAGGTCCTGAAACGACTTCACCCTAAGAGGCTCTAGCTCACATGCCCATCGTGCATACATGTGATGCTTCAGCTGCAGTGTAGGTGGAATGTCACATGATGTCACATCCTGCTCTTGATGGACAGGAAGTCAGTCGCGCTGGAGCCCGTGTCTAAAAAAAGCACGCTGGATCGTTTCCGGGAAGCTTTAAAAGCAGCAAGATTTGTGGCACATCAGAGCAAATGTCTTGCAGTAAGACCAGAGCTGGTAAAGTCGAAAAATATCAGTCATTTATTTGGCAGTTATTGGAGAATGAGTCACCACACAATTGTTTTACATGCTTGCATACAATTTAGATCAGTCGAGTAAAGATTTTAGAGAGTAAAAAGGTCTGTCTGAGTGTTAGAAACCTCTGGCTTTGCTCAACCTCAAAACCAGAAGTTAAAAAGCACAGATTTGAGTAAAAGCTGATCACCTGCGACAGCCCCGCCTTCAGAGTGCACGAACACACGAGCCAGGACAGAGTAAATACTAGATTGCTGCACAATGACTCATCCAGCAAAAGTCTGTGAGTGCGCTTGGGCGTCATTTGATCTCCCCGCAGTCTGTGATGACAATTTTTTTGATCACACCGCCGTCGTGTAAACCAAAGGATTCCATCTTGGAGACCACATCCATCCCATCCTTCACCTGCCCGAACACCACGTGTTTACCATCAAGCCTGCCCAAAAAGAAAGACAAGAAAACAAAAAAGAAAAGATGAAAAAGTGGCTCCAGCAGCTTGTGATTGATGAGGCACGAACTGGAGTCTGAAATGACTGATTAAAAAGTTCTACGGGGTGTTTACCACTCGGTTTTCGTTGTGCAGATGAAGAACTGCGAGCCGTTGCTGTTCGGGCCCGAATTTGCCATTGAAAGTGTTCCTGCAGAAAACCATAGAAGAAGAAGAAGAAGAAGAAGAAGAAGAAGAAGAAATCAATTGAACTAGATGATGTAAACAAGATCTTCATGTCCTTTTTACTCCTGATCCAAGGACATTTAGGCCTCGTTACAGCAACGTCATGCAAGATTGTAAAAAAAAGAAAAAAAAAGAAAAAAAAAAAAGGGCCACTTCTCTTGTGATCTGATGCACACCGTGATTACGCAAAGCACTAAATAATGTGCACATGGATGATGTTTATTCAACAAACAGAGTTATTTTGATTAGTGCATGTTGACTCACTAAACTAGGTCATTCACATGAGGATTGCAAAATGTATATGCCCAGCAGTTTGAACGCTGCATGAGATTCTGCACTGCCATCTAGTGGAGAAAAAGTGGGATTAAAATGCAGAAGAACAGCTGGCACATAACACCTGGAAGTTCAGTTTTGGTGCAATTTTCACTTCTCCTAATGAAGTTCTCTAATCAGTAAGACCTTCCCCCACCTATATTGTTTCTTTGCACACAGCTCCATACTTCACTGCTAAAGATACTTTTATCACTGTGTTGATGTCCTTCTCACCTGAATTTCATCAAAACAGTTTAGACTTTTGTAAGAACTCAAACTTTTTCACTTTCCTGAACACTGTCCAGCAGCACGTTAGTGTTTTTAGTCAAATTACTTCTGTAAACTCTAGAGATCTTTAGGAGGGAAAATCCCAGCAGATCAGCAGTTTCTGAAATACTTGGACCAGCCCATCTGGCACGAACAACCATGCCACATTCAATCACCTTTCTTCCCCATTCTGATGCCTGGTTTGAACTTCAGCAGGCTACAAGCCTAAAATGCTTTGAGTTGCTGACATGTGATTGGCTGATTAGTTGTTTCAAATATATCCTTCACATTTGATTTTTGTGTCTGAGGCCACCGTAGGCCTACAGTTTTGCAATACTCCTTCCAAAGTCAGTGCGGGGTTTGATAACAGTATAAAACCACTTGGTGTTTAAGTCTTAAAACAGTGGTGAAAGGGTTTGTATTCACTGATCACAGAGTTGAAGTGACTGACTGATGTTGCATGTTTTGAATATGTGAAAAGGGTTTTTATTGTTTTAGTGTAACCCCTCAAAGCTGTGGAGCTGTACCTGGACCAGTGTGCTTTAACTTGAAGTTTTCATCTTTAAACGTTTTCCCATAAATAGATTTCCCTCCTGTACCGTTGTGGTTGGTAAAATCTCCTCCCTGCAAGAGAAAAAACAACAGCAGAAAACATGCCAAATGACACTGCACCTTCACTGTAAACTGTACCTGACACATGAACTCGGGGATGACCCTGTGAAACACAGATCCCTTGTATCCAAAGCCATGCTCCCCGGTGCACAGAGCCCTGAAGTTCTCTGTGGATCGAAAGGATTTTTTAAATGAATGACGATGAGCCCATCGTGGAAAGAACGTGGCTTCACCTACCTGCAGTCTTTGGCACCACATCTGCATTCAGCTGCAAGATAAAACAAATCACATGCACTTATCTGCACAGGTCTGGCTACTGACAGATATGAACGCTACAGGTCAGATCAAGGTCTCTGGAGGCGACTGTGATAATCGCAAGCTACCTCAATGATTATTCTCCCCAGAGGATCGCTGTCAGCGTCGATGTCCAAAAATACTACCGGGTTCTCGACGGGGCCGGAAGAAAACAGGCGCGCTGCAGTGATGCCCAGCGAGCTGTACCTCATACGATTTTTTATTTGAAGCATAGCTGCTTAGCTCACACGGTGAGGCGGACCTGCAAACCATGGCCCTTTCTCAATTCTCAAGTACGCGAGTTCTCGCGTTCTCCGCACGAGAGTACGTACTTGCCGAGAATGCGAGTACGGACCCGCGATTTGTTTTTTGTTTTTTTAATACGCTTTATTGACAAAGCACAAAATACAGATACAAATTAACAAAACACAATGTCAGGGGGTTTCGTATAAAAAAAAACTAAATACATACAGTCTAAAATGGTAAATGGCCTGTATTTGTATAGCGCTTTACGCAAAAAGTTCCCGTAAAGCGCTATACAAAGTCTAGTAAAGAATCACATAATATTGAACAGGGAACATAGGTCTCCACAGCTTTTACATTTTGAGAATGTTGTTTGGTTTTAACATATTTTGTTTTCTTTAAGAAGCACTGAAAGGATGGTTTCGATTTATGTATATGAAATTTAGCCAGTAATATCAGTAAATTAATCAAATAAAATACGTTTGCCCTGTGCATGGGGTACTTAAAGTATATTCGTGTATAAGCAGGACCAAAACGGACTCGAGATTTGTACAGCAACACCAGCGTACTTGATGATGTCACACGTCCGGAGTTTTTACTGCCTCTGTGATTAATATGTTATGAAGCTTAACTTTAATCTCAGCCAAATCGATGTACTCAGGAATAAATAAAACACTGAAGCAAACCAAACATTAAGATTTATAAGTTATCTAAGTGACTTATTATCATGTTTAACCTCTGTAGCGAAATCTCTCTATTAATAAAAATAGTGTACATGTACGCCTGAATAAAAACAAACAGGTGGGATGCTAGAACGCGTTTATTTTTATTTGAGCAGATACTCAAAAATTACAGCAGACAGCTGCTGGGGTTTGGAAGAGAACTGAACAAATACTTAAAATATAATCTGATCATTTTTGAAGCAGCCTTCAGAATCTCCACATATTAACATGCTGTTTTTGTTTCCGGTGAAAAACAAACTGATAATTTAATGTTGGATTTAATTCAGAGTCAGCAAATCACAGCCAAACCGATTTAATCGGGAACAAATAAAACACTGAAATAAACCAAACATTCAAATTTAATGAACACATGCGCCGACAGATGACGTATCACGAGTCAACGAGAACGCAAGTACGCACGCACAAGTAATTCGAAAATGTGACGTCATTTCCGGGCTAAAACCGCAAAGGATTGTAGGTACAAGCGGCTAGCGCGCGTGGGCTATTACAAGACAACAGTCACACAGACAAACACAGACACAAATGGCAAGAAGCTGTTGTGTTATTAACTGCCATAGCCGGTCGCATGACAGCCACGGGAAGCCGAAGGCTAAAGGAATCGGTTTTTATCGGATTCCTGCGTGGAATAAAAATTATGCAAGAGATGTTTCCGAAGTCACGAAGAGGCAACGGATGGCCTGGATTGCAGCTATTGGAAGACCAAATATAACGTTCCAGAACACTCCACCTCACATGTTAGTCTGCTCCAAGCATTTCCTCAAAGGTGAGTGTGTGTGTGTGTTGTAGTTAAGTCATTTATCATAACATTATTGTTGATGTAGGTTACAGATAAGTCTTATATTGATTTGAATTAAATTCTTTGCGCTATGCTGCTTTGTTTACTGTGGCTTTGCAGGCTAATGTTTGTTGTATTTTGTAGGCAAACCAGCCTACAAAATGATGGAAAGCGATCCAGACTGGGCACCCTCTATCCATCTGGGTCATACTGAGTTGAAAGCTGCTACGACAGCAAAATTTGTTGGGAGAGCAAGATCAAAGCAGCCACCACAAGTCTCGCATTCCTCTGGGCCAGAGACGGATAATCCAGGCGAAATCCACGCAGGTAAAATTATTATTTTCCATAAAAATCTTGTACTTTTCCCACTAGGGCTGCCACGATTAGTCGACTAGTCACTATTAGGTATAAATCGTTGATGACTGATTTAATAGTCGACGCGTCCTTTGAAGCTTTGTAAGATCACAACAGATGCAGGAATAAGTAGTAGGATTTAGGAGGGTTATAACGGACTGAAACAGAAGATGGCAGCACTGCATGTACAAGGATGCCAGCTGCCGTTAAACCCCGAAGAAGAAGAAGTAGCTTGTCCCAGAATTCATAGCGCAGCCCAGCTCAGTTTCCAACATTGGCGGCAGCTAGTTCAGAATTAGGGCTGCCACAAACGATTATTTTGATAGTCGACTAGTCACCGATTATTTATGCCATTAGTCGACTAATCAGATCATCATCCACTGGATGTAAAACTACAGCTTATTGCACCAGCAGCATCTGCTCTTATATAACTATCATTAGCTTACAGCTTTAAGTGTTTAGTAGTGCTAACTAAAAATAAAGACAAGATGATAGTTTATTAATTTTAATGAAATTTGCAGATTGTTTCGGTAAGTTTAATAAACTCCTTGCTATCTAAAATATAACAGGACACCGGAGTATATTCTCAGCATCTCACACTTCTGATAATCAGTGTCTTCTTGACGTTTATTCAGCTGTGTAAAAACTATAACTTTAATCTCAGCCAAACCATTTACTCAGGAACAAATAAAATACTAAAAAAGCCAAACAAAACATTTTTAATTATCTAAGTGACTTATATATTTTAACCTGAGTGCGAAAGACGGCGGTGGGTTTGAAAACATTTGCCGGGAGTCCGGTGTTCTCACGGCCTAGTTAGCCTAGCCCCCGGCTAGCTATCGAGCTAGTGGGTAACAGACGTCTCCGAAAACGTCGGAGCGCTTTTGAAAATATGTGGTGTCCTGATAAACTGAGCAGATATTTGAGGTTTACACAGCTACATTCTCGCCTGAAAATATGTTAAACGTTTATTTTGTGACCCAGAAAGAATAATAAGAGTAATATTAAAACTAACTAGCTACCGCCATTGTTGGAAACTAAGCTGGGCCGCGCTATGAATTCTGGGACACAGCTGCTTCTTCTTCTTCGGGGTTTAACGGCAGCTGGCATCCTTGTACATGCAGTGCTGCCATCTTCTGTTTCAGTCCGTTATTACACTCTTAAATCCTGCTACTTATTCCTGCGTCTTTTGCGATCTTACAAAGCTTCAAACGACACGTCGACTATTAAATCAGTCGTCGACGATTTTGATAGTCGACGTAATCGTGACTAGTCATTCAGAATCAGATCAGCTAGATAGTCAAGAATTGTGCAGACACATACAGGGAATTTGGTTCCGGTAGATGGTGGCTCTCAAGCACAGCAATGTAAATCACACACACACACACACGTGTCTATATATACACATTACACATACATACACAAAGCTTGTAAACCAACTATAAATAACGAATCTAAACTTATATACATAAAATACAGAAATGAATGAGGTGGAATGAATACTACAAAATGTACATAAGGTGCAGTTGCAGTCTGGCAGTGGGAGCAGTGTGACAGGTCAACTGTTAAGAAGGGAGATGGCGAGGGGAAAGAAACTGTTCCTGTGTCGGGTGGTCCTGGTCTGCAGGCTTCTGTACCGTCTGCCAGAGGGCAGCAGATCAAAAAGTCTGTGTGCAGGGTGTGAGGGGTCTGTGATGATTTTCCCTGCCTGTTTCCTGGTTCTTGAGAGGTACAGATCCTGGATGGAGGGCAGGGGGGTGCCAATGATCCTTTCTGCTGCCCGTTCAGTCCGCTGCAGTCTGCTCCTGTCCTGTTTAGTGGCTACACCATACCAGACTGGTGGAGGAGCACAGGACAGACTCAATGACCGCAGTGTAGAACTGGATTAGCAGCTCCTGTGGAAGACATCCTCTGCTGAGTCTTTTTGAGGATGGAGGAGATGTTGGTCTCCCACTTCAGGTCCTGGGAGATGGTGGTACCCAGGAACTTCCTGTTTGAGGAACCATGACCGCCAGGAGAGATAAATTTGTGCTTCAGAAGCAAGAAAAACAATATTGCGACCATTGTTGTCTGCCTAAGTGCACAGGGAAGTAGACACCGCAAGTAGACACCTTTCGCGCATGCGGGGTACCAATCGGGTTTCCGGTACGGATCAGGTCGCGGTGGGCCACGCTATGAATTCTGGGCCACAGAAAGAATAATAAGACTAACAGCTTAACGGCAGCTGGCATTCTTGTACATGCAGTGCTGCCATCTTCTGTTTCAGTCCGTTATTACACTCTTAAATCCTACTACTTATTCCTGCGATCTTACAAAGCTTCAAAGGACGCGTCGACTATTAAATCAGTCGTCGACGATTTTGATAGTCGACTAATCGTGGCAGCCCTAACTGACAGTAGACACTGATGTGGCTTATTGAATCTTTTGGACTGTGTTCAGCATAATATTAATTAGCCATTAATTGGAAGAGGTGTATTGTTGATGTGTCTGCTATTCTCAATGTATAATGAATTATAGTGGCTGTTTGTTAGCCAACAGTTTTCACAATAACATATATTAATGTACAATCCTTAATATGTTTTGTAGGTAACCCAGCATCAGGTGAGCAGCCTATGGAGTATAATTCTGCCTTGGATCATGACTATTTCTGTGACCCAGAACCTGCTTGCCTTGATGTGACAGTAGAGCAAAACATGAAGTTAAAAGAAGAAATGGGAATGTTAAGGAAAGAGATCCAGGAGCTCAAAATGCAGTCTGCTTTTGGATTACAAAGATTTGCCGGATCCGATGATGACATTCAGTTCTACACAGGGTAAACCTACAACACTTAGCTAGACATGTTACACAAATATACCAGTTTGATTGTGAGCAATATTGTAAATGACCTGTAATTACTGTGTTTTTTTTACAATAGGTTTGCAAGTTACCGTCACTTCATGATGTTTTGGGGGCTGATTGAGCCCTCTGTCCACAAAGTGATTTACAGGTCAAGGTCCGCAGCTACTGAAAGAAGGAGTGAAGCTGTAAATGCATCACACATGGTTTGTATTTGTGCATTAAAGATTTTGAGGAAAAAACAAACAGGAAATACATGTCAAACCTTTTTATTGTAACCTGGAATTATATATATATAAAAGTATCATATGCACGTGGTACTGCTTACATTAACATCAGTCAGGCACAACTTTATGACCACCTGCCTGATTATTTTGTTGGTCCCCCTTTTTGCAACCAAAACAGCTCTAACATGTCGAGGCATGGACTCCAGTAGACCCCTAAAGATGTGCTGTAGTATCTGGCACAAGTCCGGTAAGTGGTGAGGTTGAGCCTCCATGGATCGGACTTGTTCCTTCAGCTCATCCCACAGATGCTCAATTGAATTGGGGAGTTTGTGCTCCATGTCAACACCTCAAACGTGTTCCTCAAACCATTACTGAACCTTTTTTGCTTTGTTGCAAAGCTGAAAGAGAAGAAAAGGGTGTATATGGTCTAAAACAATGCTTAGGTAGGTGGATCTGGTGCTTGGAGCTCCCTAGGGTAAGTGACACACTTGCATCTGGCTGTGCTTGTGATATAAAAGAAAACGTGATTCATCAGATCAGACCACCTTCTTCCATTGGTGGTCCAGATCTGATGCTCACGTACCCATTGTTGCTGCTTTCGGCGGTGGACAGGGGTCGGCATGGGCACCCAGACTCGTCCGCAACTATTTAGCCCTAAGCCCAACAAACTGTACTGTGTATTCTGACACCTTTCTGTCAGGACCAGCATTAACTTTTTTTTGGCAATTTGAGCTACAGTGGCTCATCTGTTCACTCATGACCTTGTCGGTGCTTCCTTGGACCACTTTTGATAGATACTGGTCACTGCAGACCAGGAACACGCCACTAGAGCCCTTCTCAAACTCACTCAAATCCTTACACTTACCGCTTTTTCCTGTTTCTAACAACAACTTTGAAGACAAAATGTTCATTTGCTCCCTAATACATCCCACCTACTAACAAGTGCCATGGTGAATAGGAAATCAGTGTTATTCACATCATCTGTTATGTCTGATCAGTGTAATTAGTTTTATAAACATGTTGTATGACTTTTTTTCTTTTTCAGAGACAGTCATTGCAACCCATTGATGAGCTGTTCCTATTCCAAATGTGCCTGGCTGCTGGTCTTGAGGAGAGAGACTTGGCAGACCGGTTTGGCATTCACCCCTTGACTGTAAGTGGCATTATCTCTTCATGGACCAACTACTTGTACACACTCTTGGGTTCTGTGTGTATCTGGATTGATGCTGAGGACATTAAAGCTCACCTCCCTGATGACTTCAAAGACTTTCCCGATACTCAGGTGATAGTTACTTGCACTGAGCTAAAATGCCAAACCGCATCCTCCACTCTCCCCCAACGTGAAGTGTTCTCCCCGTCTCACTGCACAATGAAAGGTCTGATTGGGATGGCCCCCCATGGCGCAGTGACCTTTGTTTCTTCACTCTATCAGGGGTCAATAAGTGACGAAGAACTCTTTAGGAGATCAGGTTTGGCTGACCTTCTTACAGAAGACATGGCCATAGTGGTTGACGAAGGATTCCTCATGTCTGACTGTGTGGATTGGAAGGTGTACTGTCCAGCTTTTCTTAGCCAAAACAGCCAGATGCTAGCACACAGCGGCTTCCAGAGACAGGAAATTGAACGACTCAGCGCACATGTGGAGAGTGTAATCCGAAGGGTTAAGGAAAACAAACTGCTTGACTCGGTTATACCGCTATCGATTGCTGGAAGCATTAAGGAAATTTTTACTGTGGCTTGCTTGCTAATTAATTACCAAAATAAACCTCTTGTCAAGGCACGGGCTAAGTAACGCACATGAATATAGACTTCACTTGACCGCACAGACAGAAAGTAACTGGGTAGGTAAATTGTGAACATAAGCAAGTTGTATATTTCTATAAATAAGGAATTTGTATTTCCTTGTTCTGAATGTTTTCTGAAATGTGTACGATGTTAACAGATGTAGAGTCACAGCAGCATGTTCTGAACTGATGTCATGATGTATAAATTTCATGAATAAATCTGAGTCGTTCACAAAACAGTCACTGAATATAATTTTAAATGACTTTAAAATGCATTAATTTAAATAAAATGAATTAACATGAATTTACACTCAAATGTTTAATTGGTCTTTAAAATCCTTTCATGTGTGCATCTTTTCTTTGTTTTTAAATTCAAGCTATATTCAGGTAGTCTTGAGCCACCTCATTTCTCTGCATTTTTGGTCCAAGATGCAAGATTCTTTTTTTTTTAAAGGGCAGTAGTTCTTTAGACTTTCTGAAGGTCTTTCGAAGTCTTTCTTTGGATGATTTTTCACTCATTTTCAGGCCTTATTTCTGGCCTTTTTCTGCCCCATTAAAAAAAAAACCCCTAGCTGCCGAGGGCTTTCCATGACTCACTATGTGCTTACACACCACTTTGCATTTAGTTACTAGATATTAGTAATCTCTGACCGTCTTCCAGTTTGTCCTGTCTTCCTCTAATTAACTCCAACTCATTGCGTCACATGACTGCCCCTCCCTGTGGTTGTTCCGCCAGAGGTTTCTTTGTGTTAAAAGCATTTTGAGGCGACTGCTCTGTGATTTTTGCACTACATGTAAATACAAGTGAACTGAATTTTTTTATTGTTCCATGGAACATGTTGGACAAGTCGAGCCCAAAATACACAGAAGGCCGCCAACTGTGTTTCATCTGAATACATATTTATTAGATAAATATTAGGATGTCACATCATCTAACTACATACAGATTTGCAAGACTAAAAATCACAATGTTCTTCTGACCAGTTTAGAATATGAAATGATTGTACATAGAATGTACAAAACCAAATAGACAACTGCCACTTGTGCCAATCACTTCAGATTGTACCTTTATAGCATAAGTTTTGCCAAATTGCATAAAAATTATAAATTTGACAAAATGTTTTACAAACTGTAAATTTTGGAAACAACCCTCGAGAGCCTTCTCGAAGCTCGATGTCTCCCGAGTCCCAATTATACCTCAAAAGGTCGGAATAATTTCGTAGCACCTTTATAAAGTACACAGGTAATAACGAAATACACAGAATTTTCATATTACACAAGAGGAAAAATTTCTTTTCTTTTTCTTGAACCCCTTGTCGAAGGGGTTCATAAAGTATCTTACATAAATGAACAGGCATGGTTAGAGAGGTCTGCACAGACATAATCAAACACAGACTCATTTTCCCAATTCAATGTCTGACAGGAGGATGCAAGCTTTACAAATTCTAAATACACTATGCACACTCCCACTGGAGAAAATGAATACATTTCTGTTAACGTGTCTCTATTTGTCATTTACATTATGTACAAATATCCCTTATATCCCAAACCCGTCCCCCAAAACTTACTGGGGGTCTTTCCCGAATTTCATTTTACAATATTAATCGTCTTCTCCTTTAAATCCTCAACTAGTACAAAGTGTGTCGCGAAAATTACTCGATTTTTGTGAAAGGTTACAGTCATAATTACACACTGTGTAGGGAAATAAAACATCCCAATGCGGCAGTGCATTGTCTTTAACAAACATATAAACAAACACAAAACAACATTTGACTCTTTCAGCTGTGTTGTATGCAGGCCATGTGATTACTCTTGAAGCCAAAATGCGGTTCTTGAAAAAGGATCATAAAGCCTAAATATGGGCGACTTTTTTTTTTTTTTTTTTTAACCAATGACATACAGTTTACTTCATATTCATTGTCTTTACTGCATAAACTGATGTAAACTAAATTTTACTCTCATACAAACACTGGACAAAAATAACTTAAAATGCAAAACAAAAGTGATGGAAACACACAGATCGATGGCTATGAAAAGCTCAGTATCACACCTCAAAACCATCCAGAGGACTTTTTTTTTTCCACATTCTCACCTGAAATAAAGAAGATGAGGATCCAATAATATTGAACAAATACGTTTTGGAGAAATTTGGACCTCAGAGCTGCATTAACAACCTTTTATATGTTTCTTCCCGCTGATTCAAAGTCACAGAGTAATGGAAAAAACTGTACACAATACACAGGTACTTAATACAAAGCCAGTGAGAGTGCATTTAAATCAATTCCTTACAATGTTGGACTGTTTATTGGGGACTGTGTGTATTTAATGTGTGTGAGTTGTCACCGACAGACACGCAGTACCATGTAGATGCCAGTAATAGTTAGGTACAGTACTGTACATTCACAATGTATTCACAAAGGGTATATACAACAGCTCTGGAAACACTGTCGGGTCATGCAGGTTGTTTTTTTTCTTCCCCCTCCCAAACAGTAATAAAACAACAAAAGATCAGTACAGTCATACAGATTTTTTTTCTGTGTGTGTGTGTGTTTGATTTTTTTTTTATAAAACAGTGATTTTAAAAACTTCTGTGGATGTCTGTGGGATGCTGAAATCCTGCTGTTACACCAACACACAGTAATATCCAGACTCAACCCCTTACAAAAAGCACAGGACAGCTGCGGTGACTGATTCGTGTCAATAAAGGGAAAGGGAGCAGGAGGTTGAACGAAGAAAACACAAAGACGCTGACAAAGAACAAAAAACCCCCGATGAATTTACAATAAAATAATAAATATAAAGACTAGAAAGATAATGATTTGATCAAGCACATCTAGGCTGGACAAAAGACAACAGGAGCCGTTGGCACACATGCACTTGTGATGGAAACGGTGCTGAATTCGATGAGAAGTGAAACGTCACAATAAATACACAGGTGCTGAGACAGCTCTTTAAGCTAGATTGTCCCCTCCCTCCCCCCTCCTCTTCTGTCTCAAACTTTCTCTCTCCTGCTGTTTTCCACGTACGCTCGCAGGCAAACGAAAGAGGACGCGGAAACACACTCGCAGTCGGGCACACACACACACCACATTTCACACTATGTGCACTCGCCTCCTCCGCTGACACTCAAGGACAATTGAGTTTGTCCTCTCAGTGCACTGATTCTGATGAGTTCCAGTTATTTAACCACCTCACGCACACACAGACACACACACACACATTCAGAAGTCTAGGGAGGTGGGGGGGTGGCAAGGTCAAAGGGCATGGCATACGCCAAAGTTTTGGAAGAACACATTTCAAGGGTAAAAACACTCTTACAAGACAATGTCTTTGCCGCCGACTCTCGTCCTTTTTTTTTAAAATGAAAATTATAGATATTTATATAAACAACAAAGCTACAACACTTTTCCTGGAGCCCACAACGGCTCCTGTCTCCTCTGTGTTGATTACATATAATGATTATAGCTGCACAGTTTTTCAGTTGAAAAAAAGTCACAAATATTTAATATATATATATGTATATGTATACATATATACACACACACACATATATATATATATATGTATATATGAAGTCACTTTAGTGCCCACCGACATGGCTGTAAATGGCGTGTTTTGAGTCAGAGGTGGTGGAACTGGTGTGTTGAATCTTTGCACAAGCGAAAGAAGGAAGTGTGGGGGACGAGAGGCTCTCCTGCTCTCTCCCTAGGAGTTCCCAAACAGGTGCCCCCCCCCCAGCTGTGCTCCTGTGCCGCACATTCTCTGTTTGTGTGTAAGTGCATAAGAAAGCTGATTTGAAGTGTTAACAGGAGGTCGGTCAGGCGTCTGTGGACGGGGTGGTCCGACACGTCACGACTCCCGCGGGGGTGAACGAGGGGCTCGTGGGCAAGGCGAAGGTGCTAGTTGTTCTCAAAAAGGGAGAGGAGGTCGTCGTTGCTGTTGGTGGGAAGGTCGGGGGGGTCCAGGTACGAGAGTAGCTCTTCTGGATTCGCCAGTTCGGGAAGCAACTGTGCACGAAAGGCAGAAAAAAACAAAAACATGATTTCTTTTGTTCTTTTTTTCAAGGAAGGCAAATTTACCTTTTCTAGTGACTTCATATGAAGTGTTGATTTTATTTATTAACCTTTATTTAACCAGGAAGATCCCATTGAGATTAAAAACCTCTTTTTCAAGGGAGACCTGGCCAAGATAGGCAGCAGCAGATGTCTCACAGTTACAGAAATTACTCAAACACAGGCAGCAACAACACACATGCAACAATAAGTGAAAGAATACAAATAAAATAAAAAATAAAATTCAATAAAATTCGTCAATCAATAAAGTTGATGCTAGCGTGCACATAAACAGCTACCGCCGAGAGTCAAATGTTAACAGAAAACAGCAGAGAGATGAGAGCAGCTGCGGCAGACAACAGGTCAACAGTTAGCTTACGGCACCCAAAGCAGACACACTTACATCCAGGGAGGGTTCGGGCATATCCTGGGCTCCCTGACCCATCTGCCCATCTGAGGAGGGGTTAAAGTTCAGATCGCTGTGAGGATGACTGTTCTGCCCGGGATGCTGAGGCTGCGGCTGAGGCTGCGACTGGCGAGGCGGGTGCGATGATTGGCCACTGTGATGCAAGGGCTGCCCTGACTGGACACTGTGATGTAAAGGCGGCCCTGTTTGGCCGCCGGGGTGGGGAGACGCATGCAAGCTCTGCTGCTGCTGCATGGAGTTATGGGACTGATCGGAATGGGACATCTGCAAGTGCGAGAGGGCAAACAAAGAGCGACAGTGAAGGAGAGACGGGAGGGGAAAAAAGGAGGAGGATAAAGCGAGAGAGACACAGAGAGGGAAGGAGAGAGTGTTAAGGGGGGAAGGAAGGGGGGGAGCGAAATGAGTTCCAGCGTGAATAATATGGAACAGGCTTTCTAAATGGAAGCTGCGATCAGCAGACATGTACAGCTGCAACATTATACGGTGACATGAGCATGTGAGCATGACTGAGCACACATGCTGGCTAGAGGCACAGGCTGCACCTTGGTCAGATAAGAAATACAGGTGTTCAGTACGGCACAGATTCTCTAGAGAGTTTCTTCCTCAGACTAAGCAGCAAACATGACTAACTTAGCATCGCATTAAAAAAAGCCCAAATATATGAAAAGCTTAATGTGCAACTTTATTCCCATAAACCATGAGCAGCCAAAGTCAGATGTACTCACTGGATCATTCATGCTGTGGCTGAGGGGCTTATCCTGTGGGAGGAGACCACCAGGCCCGTCCGGAGGATGGGATAGCTGAGGTCCATGGATGAAGTCATTCATAGGGGGACCCCCTCCACCTCCTCCGCCGCCGGAGGGGTTCCCGTGAGGGAAGTCGAAATTCCCCTGGGTGTGGTAGCTGTTGCCTACAAGGAGAGAAGATAAAACACATCTTTTGAAGGGGCTAACTGCAGTTTGGTCCCGCTCACTCATTTGATGAGGAATCCCTGATGTTGCAAATAAAATGTACCTTTATCAAAGCAGTTACATAACAGGATATACCCATTCTACTTTCTTTTTTACTGATGAGAAACATTTATCAGAGCAGGAACATTTTTTAAAACAGTTTCAGCATAAAACTCTCCTTGGGGCTGTTTCTTTGTTTAATGCACTAGAGACACATCAATAGATCCTGCTGCAAAATGCACAACGGCTCATTCTTCCGATAAATGAGATGACTCTCCTGTTATTTTTCTACACTGCAGGACGCTGCCTGCTTTTCATTACCTGCTCCCGGGTAATCTCCCCCGTTGCCACTAACATGTTGACCGGGGTGTGGTGGGTATGGACTCGGCCCAGGTCCAGGCCCAGATCCTGGGCCGGGGCCTGGCCCTAGCTGTGCGATCATTTCCATCACATTAGGCATGGTCATCTGACTCGGGCTCATTGTTTTAAAGCGCTTGGCCAGCGGTGCGTCGGGGTCTTCTTTGATGTGTAGCTCAGACTTGATGGGGACAGGTCGCCAGCTACATGTGGGGTCTATAGTTACCTCCTCAAACTCTGAACTATTGGAGGAGAAAACAAATCATGTTGGCTTCACGTCTAAACAATTTGTGCGTGTAAAAACAGGCTAAACAGAGTGAACTTACTTTTGGATGGCATTCAGGATTCCCCACATGTACTGATCCACCTCCAGACCTTCTAATAACGCAGTTTTACTATAAAAAAAAAAAACAGAATAAAAACAACACATAAGCTACTGGATGGATTCCCTAAACGTATTTTTACACAAGCCTCCTTACTTGCACACAGGACACCTCCATGTCCCCCTCTCACAGTTGAGCTGCAAGTAGGACTCCAGATCAAAGCACTGCAGACAGAAACATCACAAATCCTCATTAGGATAATATTCTTCCGTTCACTGCAACACCAGGCACGCATTTCCATTAACATTATTTCCACTTAAATGCACGCAAACCTGAACATGCTTGCAGTCGTGCCCCCTCGCAGGTAGCTGGATGCGTCTGAACGTGATGGGACATTTCAAAGACACTTTAATGGCCGTCTGCTCCACGCCGTCTTCCCCGTTAAGAGTAGTGTTGCCCGCCGAGGCCGCAACGCTGCTGAAGTTTCTCTTAACTGAAAATATAAAGTGTCACAGAGGGAGCAGTCATAGATGTGCTTAAAGAACGATAAAGAGAAACAGGGTTGAGTTCACTGAATTCGGATGTATTATTGAACATTAATTACGCAAAGGAGCCGTACTCTTGGTGATGCAGTGTTCTGCAGGGAGGAGTCTCTTCTTCAGGAGCCCCTGGAGGACGGATCGCACAGATGGCCTGTGGACCAGCTGAAGCACAAACAGGTGGGACTGCAAAGAAAAGAAGCCATGAACACAAGCAGAATTAGTACAGACAGCTGAATCTCATTCATACTCCAGACAATGCAAATTTAAATCACGTGTGTGTAAATCCCTCCAGCTTGTCTGAACTAATGAATGAAGCCGCTACATATCAAAGCTTCTAGTCGGTGCTCTGAGAATGCGAATACTCACACAACAGCATGCGGTGACCGTAATTTGGATGGTGTTCCTCCCGGGTTGGCAAACGTGCTTCAGGTGCAGGGGTTTGTGGGAGGTTTTGTTGTCTCCCCTCTCGATGGTGAGAGGCGTGGCGTTGACGCTGACCTGGACGGAAGCAGGCCAGTTGGTGTTCATTTGCCTGTCTTCATGATGGTAGCACTTAAACTGCAGCTCGAGGTCAGACCTTCGAGGGTAACCAGAGGAATAACAGTTAGTGGAAAAAACTGGGAAAAACAAAACGACTGTACAATACATCAGGCACAAATAGAGGTTAACCAATTCTAATGAGTTTGAAAGTCAATCTTTGGTTTTTTTCTTGTTTCCCTTCCTTAGGATGACTTATTGACAGACACCCATCCACTGAGACCATTTCTGATGACGCTTCATGAATAGCAGATGGATCAAGTGAAGGGTCAGATGCCAGATTTTGGATTTTGCCTGTTTTTTAAGACCTGTAACTTCATCTTTTGCCCTCCACATGTCCAATTTACTCAATTTTTTAAGGACATACTGCACACCCTGAAGACATATGCCAGGTTTTTGGCTCATGGTTGTTTGTTTTTGGCAGCTATGAGGAAAGAACTGAAAATGACTGGAAAAGCAGGCAGTGTCCAAATAAAAACTTTGAAAGATCTCCAGAAATCCTGGGGAACTATTGCTTAAGACCACTTTATAAAAAACACGGGTGCCAGTTTAGCTCAGGGGGTGAGGAGATGTCGCAAGGCTGAATGCAACAACTCGGGTTTGATTCTGACCCAAGGCCCTCGCTCTCCCTCCTTTCCTGTGTACTCTTCACTATTACATTATCTGATGAAGGCAAAAACCTTGCAAAGAAAAAAAAAGAAATCTGCCTCCTTCGATGTCAAATACAAAGAAATGAAGCGGATTGTATGTAGGCAACACTGTGCTAGCTTACGACAAATCAAGATTCTCACTATTAATAAACTCTGCAGTAACACGTGATTTAGTATGTGATTTAGTATCTCATGTCTGTCACATTCATGTGGCGCTATAACAACAGCCTAAAATAACAGCACCCACAATGTAGCAACTTTCACCACACATCCATTTTAGTGCTTGCTGTGCATATGCTGCACTAGTAACAACAAATACGAAACTACAAGGTTTTTACCTCCACATGAGGGTCTGGTGGACGGACGGTCGAAGGTGGAAGACGTGGTTGCTGACAGCCAGGTTGTGCTCCAAGCGGAACGGTTCCAGCACCACTCCGTCCCTGACTGGGAACGTCAGACGTAGTTCCTCGTTGGGGATAGCTGCAGACGAGGAAAACGGGAGAGGATGGCTTTTAATCTCAGAATGTAAATGTCAGGAGGCGAGATAAAAGGATAAAAAGGACAAAAACAGACAAATGAGTCATGTGAACGACTCGTTTCAGGTCTGCTTGGGTACTTACTTGGAGGGGGCGGAAGCGCTGTCATATTTGGTTTCATGTCGGCTGGAAACGGGGGCTTCACATCCTGGTTTGGCGACAGATACGGCGGAATACTACTTCCCGGGGTCATGGGAGGTGTGGGGTTTCCGGGGACTGGAGAGTGTGGGTAGTTACCAGGCCTGGGGGGCTAAAGAAAGGTGGGGGAAGTGCAATAATCAAAAGATCTGTTAAAGTCATTTCACAGACATGAAAGGCTCAAATCTGGCACCAATGTCTTCACCTGCTAAGACTGAAATTGCACTTTTACATGGGTACGAAGGAAAAACATACCCCACTGCCTTGGCCGTAAGAGTATCCGCCTCCAGAGAAGTTGGTGCTCTGACCGTTGAAGGGCTCCTGCTGAATAAGGAAAAGCAAAAAAGAATTGATACAGTTCCCTTTAGTGCCAGGGATGCACTATAGTTTAGGTGACAAGGGTTCAAACGTCCTGATCTTCTGAATAATTCGCTTCCTTTGCCCCCTTTGTGACCCTGAGTATGCATAAATGATGGACTAACAAACCTTGTAGTACTGGCTCATGGGCATGCCAGGCGGGTACTGCCCTTGGCCCTGTTGCCCCGGCATCCTCTGGCTGGGGTAGTTAGGAGAGGGCAATGGTCTGGAGGCATTTGATGAGGGATACTGCCCCTGCTGTTGGAACTGACTGTTTGGCCCATACTGCTGACCTCCATAGCTTCCCTTCAAGAAGAAAGTTTAAAAAAAAGAAGAAAAGACATTATATATATATACATGTCTCAGGTGCTACAACAAGAAGAATATTCATGTCTGATATTTCCACTCACATCTCCAGGATATGGCCTCTTTATCCCCTGCATGGGTATGCCCTGTCGAGGTCCACCGGGATAACCTTGCTGAGGCATCCTCTGGCTGTGAGCTCCAAAAGGCGTCATGCCTGGGGTTCTCGCCTGGTTTATACCCATTGGAGGGCCGCTCATATTGGGGTTGTTCATGGCAGATCCCATGCTGGATGGATTCATTCCCCCAGGGGGACCTCGTGGGCCTGGCTGATTCATAAACTGGCTATTGTAGGCTGGAGCATGGCCCATCTGGAACGATGGACACATCTGGAGAAAACAACCGAATAATTAATGGCTACATTTTGCAGCAGGTAGTTACCTAACATCTTCCTCCATCAAACTGTTTGCCTCATAGCAGATGTGTACTGTACCTGTCCATACTGGTTCATGTCTTTATTCTGGGTTTCCTGCAGAGCCGCTACAGTGGCTGTTGCAGTGGCTGTCGCGGTAGCAGCAGCGGCAGCAACAGCAGCAGCTGCAGCTGCAGCAGCTGGCTGGGTGAAGTCACCAGGAGGACGTGTGTGGGAGGCCATTCCCATACCTCCTGGTGGTGCATTCGGGCCTCCAGAGTAACTGATGAACACATGATTTATGTTTTAACCACTCTTTTAAAACCGGAGCTGCTGTCTTAAAGAATAAAAAAGAAGACTGGTATCCCGTTTCTCACCTCCCGCTGTATCCTCCAGGACCACCGGGGTAGCCGGGCCTGCCGTACATGCTCTGCTGCATGTATGATTGGCTGGAACCGCCTTTATTTGGGAATTGTTGCTGCTGCGCATTGAACTGGGGTGAATTGAGCCCTGCTGCATTGCCAGACATGCCCGATCCCACTGGGTTACCCCCAGGATTCATGGGGTTATTGCTGTTTGCCATTGGGTTGCCTAGCACCTATATTTAACAAAGAAACAAAGAGGAAGTGAAACTATCTGCTAGGTTTGTGCAATAAACCTGTCTTAAAACTGTTTGCTGAACTCATATAATTACAGAGTGGGTGCTTTTCATGCATGGACATACCTGACTCTGTGATGTGTTGGTAACGCCCCACACTGTTGTAACCACGGACAATGACCCAGGGGGCTGGTTGGCGTTTTGTTGCCAGGGGACAGAGTCATAGGGAAATGAGCCATCACTGGAAAACAGATCAAAACACAAACAATGTGCCTGATGTCACTTAAAGTTCTGAGTAACTCTAGGGTTTCTTAAGCCGAAATGTTCATTCAATTTAAATGTCTGGCGTTGAGTTTCACACCACATTTCGAGCCAGGAAATCTGCTAATGACTGCACAAGTAAGATGAGTCAAAATTTCCAAATGTGCCGATATGGACTCGTCTGTCCGCATGCACCGGTAAACATCTAAGTTCTTCGAATAAGGATAGGTAGTACACATCTGGAATGTTTAGCGTTCAGATTTAAAACAAATAGAGTAAAATACGAGATTCTGTTACACATGATAAACAAGCTAAGTCTCCATGAGGGGAGAGGCAAGTGGCCAGCAGTGTGGGAGGGAACTGCTGCTCTTGGAAGGCACCCTGTTTTCCCTGAGAGGTTAGCTCTCAGAATGGACGACATGTTCAATATTTCCTCATAAATACACATTATCCCAAGATCTTCAGCAGAAGCAAACAGGACTCTTGGCTAACTCCAGGCTTTTTTTTCCCTTCTCTTTTTGTTTTTTTGAGAGAGGTCCGAGCACATGCTGTTCTCTAAAAGCATTACCTCACATCTGTCTTCCCTCTAGGTTTGCCCTTGCACTTCACATCACTTCACTTCCACAAATTTTTCTGGCTTTTCTCCAATCAGTGGAAACCCTCATGAGGCCTGAATGTTAGATGTGAACCTTAATTTCTTTAATGACTTCCTCTGATGCCTTATAAACACTATATTGCCAAAAGTATTCACTCACCCATCCAATTCATTGAACTCACGTGTTCCAATCACTTCCATGACTACGGTGTATAAATTTAAGCACCTAAGAATGCAGACTGTTTCTACAATGATCTGTGAAAGAACATGTTGCTCTCAGGAACTCCAAGGTGGTACTGTGATAGGACGCCCCCTGTACTGCTAAATATCAGTCAGCTGTTATAACAAAGTGGAAGTGATTGGGAACGACAACAACTCAACCATGAGGTTGTAGGCCACGTAAAATCAGAGAGTGGGGTCAGCAGGTGCTGAGGCGCACAGTGCACAGAGGTCGCCAACTTTCTGCAGTCAGTCGTTACAGACCTCAAAACTTCCTGTGGCCTTCACAGTGTGTGGCAAACTTCATGGAATCGGCTTCCACGGCCAAACAGCTGCATCCAAGCCTTAAATCACAAGCTCAGTGCAAAGTGTCAGATGCAGTGATGTAAAGCGTGCCGCCACTGGACTCGAGAGCAGTGGAGACGTATTGCCTGGACTGACGAATCACACTTCTCCATCTGGCAATCCGATGGGTGAGTCTGGGTTTGGCGGTTGCCAGGAGAATGCTTCTTGTCTGACTGCACTGTACCCAATGTAACGTTTGGTGCAGGGGGTTTATAGTGTGGGGCTGTTTTTCAGCAGTTGGCCTCAGCGCCTTACTTCCAGTAAAAGAAACTCTTAATGCTTTAACATTTTGGACTTTGTGGAAACAGTTTGGTATGGAAGAACTTGACTGGTCTGCACAGAGTCCTAACTTCAACCTGACAGATCACCTTCGGGATGAATTAGAGTGGAGACTGTTATCTAGGCCTCATCGTCGATTATCAGTGTGTGATCTCAGAATGGTGAAAAATTCCCATAAGCACTCCTAAACCTTGTGGAAAGCCTTCCTAGAAGAGTTGGAGCTATTATAGCTGCAGAGGCTGGGCCGACATAATATTAAACCCTATGGACTTAGAATGGGATGTCTCAAGTTCACATGCATGGGAAGCTGGCAATATATTGTACACTGGTTATTCAGATGCAGTTTCCTCCCACCACACACTTTATTGAAAATGTGACTTTACTGAGAGCCAACTGCAGCAGGCTTTGTAATCTGACAGGGCATGTATCTCACCTGTGCGTGAGGCCGGGCTTCATGCTGTTCATGCCGGGCTGCATGGGGACTTTCCCCTGCGGTTCGTTCTGTCTGTTCTTCTGGTGACGCAGAAGGAGGAGGCGACCCAGCTCCTCGCACCACGACGACAGCAGGGCTGCAAGGAGAGCACAATGACAGGTTCATGATTCCTCGTGTGCACAACTGGTCTGCACTGGGTACTCATGTATTATCAGATGCATGTTTATGGCTCTATGGTTGCAAATGATCACACAGAATGTCGCTTATAACAGAGTTTTAAAGTTTTCCTTCAATAAACACAATTACAGGTGTCTAACGGTTGCAGCTTGATGTTACTGCTAAAGCCTCCAGGGGGCAGCCTAATGCAACACTTCCATTATCAATCGCTCTGTGTAGTTTCCACAACAGCTGCCTTACACGTCATATCAACCTGCAGAGTCAAATATAAACTGAGATCTATGTACAGCACAAAGGACCTCCCAGTTTTCTCTGCCACTGTGAGGAAAAAGCTGAAATGGAGCGTGAGAGGCAGACACCAGTGAGTGATTGGGGTTACAGATAAGAGCCGTGTAGAAAGTAAGAAACAGTAACATCTTCAGTCCTCCACTTCCTTCATTCATCAGCACCACTTTATTCTTTGCCTCGTTGTCCTCTCATGTCTCTAAGGACTAATCAGACAGCCTTCTCATCCCGCCTTCATGAAGATAAGAGTTGGGATTTTTTGTTCTTGTTCCAATGATGTGCCAATTTTATTTGATTTTGTTGTGTTTTTTCCCAATGCCAATCAAGTTGTCTTCTTTCTTTTTTTTTAATCGATGGGTTATTTGAAAGTTGCCTTGACAAACATCAGCCTAACAAAAGAAAGGTTACCGTGTTCATCATTTTATTAAATAGTTTAAGATGCTATTTATAGCCTTGTAGAGCCAGATACAGCAGCTTTTAGAAGGTGCTGTTACTAGGTTTGGGGCAGAGGGGGTGTTACAAAGTCCATGACACTGAAATTGGCACTGCATTAAGATTTACACCATGTCTAAATGATCTAAATGAAAGGAAATTAAAAACATGACATGACAAGTGATTATTTCTGAAGTCACTCGAAAAAGACGAGGAGTGAAAGGAACAACAAAGAAAGGAGAGAAGGGAAAAATAAAGGAGAGGAGCGGTTACATTTTCCTCTGCAGGGTGGAGAGAGCCAAGCCTCCTAGTTAAAGAGGAATTATTCCACCCTGCCATTACGGAGAGCTTATCTCCCCACTAAATCACCACCTCCACACAGAGGGACTGTCTCTTCAACAGGCAACCCACCATTTAGACCTAAAACTCCAAGCTCGAGTGATGGGAGTTGCTTTGAGGCAGGGAGAGACAGGCAGAGGACAAAAGAGAGCAATGGCGACTTATCACATCAGCGTGGTTATGAGCTACTGAATCTAACAAGCTGCCAAGGCCAGATGTCATTCATAATAGAGTGAGGGTCTGCTCTGGGCGTCGTGCATATTTAGCGAGCTTAGTACAGTGTACATGACCTTGTTTTCACCTCACAGCCCCCTGTGTTAAAACCTCTGCCAACACTATCACACACCCACAACTCACCCGCCATACTCCTCTCGCTTTACGTCTTTACGGCCCTCCTCTTTACAGAGCCCCGCACGCCCTCGGTCCTCATACAAATTTAAATAGCATTCTGATGGCATCTGTCTCTACTACTATCCATTAAGTTGTTTTGTTGACTTCACTAATGGAGAACATGAGGTGCAGATGTCAAGCGTGCAGACAACCCAGCCAACAAAAACAGAAGAATATAAAGACAAGGTCTCCGTCTCATTACACCTCTCTTTATTTCATCTTTCTATTCATTCCTGTTGAATGAATAGAAAGATGAAACTAAAGCCTTCAGTTTGTTCTGAAGGTGCTAACAGCTGGCTGGTTGAGACAAGTTAAGGTCAGCTACTTAAAGATTCTTCTTTAAAGCCTTTCTCACTCTCTTCCGTCTTTTGTTTCTAATATTAAAGAATGCCATGTTTCTATTCTCTGGTAACTTTAACATGATTGCAACTTTACTTAAGAATGAGAGAATCCTGAAACCAGCAAGATTACTGAGATAGTTCAGCTTTGGGAAATGGTACTTTTAAGAGTGATGGGAGGTCTTCTGGCTCGGTTCCCTTAGAAGAGCTGGCTCTTATGGCTCCCAAATGGCTCTTCAATCGGAGCCTTCTATTTTAGCCCAATTTATTAATTATACATATTTTGTGTGCTGGGAAACTTTTTTTAATGCATCATTTTGACACAGGTCTTAATTTTGTGAATTCAATACTGCTATGGGAGAACATACATGGGGCTTAAGGCCTGCAGTCTACAATATCCTCGAAATGCGTCGTTACTTCACTTTTTCCTTGCGTTTAAATCCGGCTCCCTGTCTCTCTGTTGCTGTGTTCCAGATATCTTGGAGTTGCGTCACTCCCAAGTTAGCGCGTTCCAGATACAGTGAGGGAAAATTTATTTTGGTTCTTACCAACTTAGAGCCATTCAGGTATCACTAGCAACACGGCATAATACTTATTTTTATGCTCTTAAAAAACACATTCGTGGATAAAGCCCAATCAGTCACGTTTAGTGAGTTACAAATACACAACAGTGGCAAAACAGGTTCAAAGTCTACAGTTTTAGTACTGTTTATGTTCAGTGCTGCCATCTTGGATCGCTACCTCAGGTTATGTTGGTCTGCTCCAACATTCCGGGAAATCCAAATTGACGTGGTGTTCCACAAAAAAATCATCTAAGGGAACACGAAAATTTGTACGACTACTATCGCTGTCTTCCCAACTGATGCCCCCCTTCCTTCTTTTACATAATGGTATAATCTAAGTCTGAAACTGCAGTTCCACAAATGGCCACTTGAGGCTCAAAAAACATCATAAAATGCCCAAATTTTACAGCACAATTAAACGTATTTACGTTTCTGTACCAGCCTGACATTTAAAGTGTTTTGGTCCTTATTCCTATATAAATGTCACCATTCATGAAAAGTCTGGAGTCAGGTGGGTCTTGACACAGTTCACAGTTACTCTTTCCACCCGACGATCAAGTGATCATTCCTGCTGTACATCTTTAAGCTGCACGTGTAGGCGGTGCACTGTAACGTAAATTCTCTGTAGACAAATCAGCATAGTCACAGGTGAAAAGCTAGTGGGTCATTTAAAAAAGCTAGAATGAGTTTACAATATATAATCCAAGCATGCCCACTTCTGGCACCAACCCCCTACCCCACAAAAAACCAAACAAACCACTTGGTAACCTAAAGGCTTCACAACACTCATCCACTAAACAACGGGTTACTCACAGTGGCTACATCTAGCTTTAAACGGTGAGATTATCCTATTTCTGCTGAATAGCTACACTGTCAGGGCTACTTGATAATGTGCTGACAATTTACAGTTGGGTAAAAAAGTATAGAGATTGTAGCTGATGGAGAAAGTGTTCCTGAAACTACTTTCTCGACGCATCAGTCTGACAGTCTTTCACAACAATAACATCATAAACTGCTGTTTTTACCTGCATCGAAGAGTCAGCTCTCAGTTACGCCGTGCTGTGCTTTTAAATAGTTCCATCATCAAATTCTTTCGAAAGCATTTAATAGAGATTCTCCTTGTCCTTGACTTGCAGCTGGTGAGCCCACAGATATTCAGCAAATGAGTTTATCTAAGCTAATCTCACCATCTGAGACTTTCTAAAAAGCATTCAAAAAGCTGACAGAGTCAAGCGCTTCTTCGTAATACATGACTAAAACCACAGTTACTGATCTGCCTGACTAATATCTGTAGACAACGGTGACATTCAAGCCTCTGGGGCTCATCTGAAGCTACTATTCTGTTCTAACAAGTTTCAGTGGATTCTCCAGCCTTAAACAGAGCCTCCTCCTGAGCACATAGACTGCTCTGCAGGGAAAGCCGGACATAAGCTGAAGCTCTCGTGAACCCGTTCCAACCATCTCCGTTTCTTAGAAGCTGGGACTTTTAATTGAATAATGCCCAGAGACATATGGGTCCTCCTCACTCAAGCTGTATTTAATGCTATATGGCTGACTGATAGCAGAAGCCCTGGCTCATTCTCACCTCACCTCAGCCCCTCTGGGAGCAGAAGGGAGGGAGAATAAGCCCTGGTAACAGGCTGCAAGGCCCATTAACTAATGACAGAGTGTATGTACAAGTCCTTTTTACAAGGAAACCCAAATGCTAATTACTATGAACTCTGGCAGTGCTGTGTGTGTGTAAGCATCTGCGTGTGCGGTAAAAGCCTTCTGCTACTGAGCATATCATTTCCCTTAGAAATCCTGACAGATTGCTAATACTTTAAATGTATCCGCCCTAATATAATTGAGTTAGCCGCAAGACAGCGACCCCACTTTGTTGATAAACACCTGACCTGTTCTGAAATATGAAGCCGGTGCTCTGCCACGTATAAGCGCAAGGTATTCAACTTTCAGCAAAGATGCTGAAGGCAACAGCAAAAGAGTGCTGCTGTGCTGTGGCCCTAAATCACTGTACTAAGTGTACTATTGTGTAGTTAAAGATTTAAAGAGTGAACACAGCGAAGCAGCCCTGTGTCTGAGCATGCCAAGTGCAGAGGTAAAGTGAACTTCCACCCACTCAAACGACTATTTCAGAGGGTGACATCTGCATTAAAAGAGGAACAGAGTTCACCACGCATTTAATACAGCGTAATTACAGTGTGTATAAATAAAAGTAAATTAAAAAACAAAACAGACAGGCCATTTTGGCGGGGGGAAAGCAATGGCATGTCACACTTTTTATAAAAATGACTGAAGATGTGAAGTCGCTTTATATATGATCAATACGCAAACATTAAGAAAAGAAGCTGGGTAAAACTGCCCCACCACGGAGGGGGGGGTGTCATTTTCAGCAGAAGAACGTAAATACAGCATCAGCTGAGGTGCATTATCAAAAGTATATTATGGCAGCCATGTTTCCAAAATGGAATTAAAACAGTACAAATGCGGTAAGCAAAAGAAAAGAGCTGATGTCTAAATACTGTGAACTGCGACTAAAAGAAAGTACTGTTGAGTTTTCAAAGCCTGTATGAGAAGAGTGCTCCGGAGTGTCAGCCCTTTCCCTTTTCTTTTTTTTAAAGCTTGCATGGCAACTGAAATTCAGTGCAAGAGAAGTGCACCTGTTTCCTCTTAAGACTGCAGTTACAGCCATGACTGCACTGTGATACCATGATACTGATATGGAATATCTATTACTGACACAGTATCACGTAGCAGCTGGAGGGCTTGGCTGTTTTATGCATACATATTTAAGGGTTAGCTGCTTTCAAGAAAGCTGCTAAAAAGGAGATGTTACATAAGACTTTCTGAGCCTCATTAGTTTGGATGGCAACACAAAGAACGGCTGAAGGAGTTTTATGAAGTAGAAACAGGTAGAGATTTCTTGCTGCTCGTACTCCTCTTTGTACGATTCTGACAGAAGAAGCAACTGCAAAGTATAAACTCGGTTAAATAGCTTAATGAGGTTGGTTTGCACAAAAGCTCAAACACGTTTGAGCCACATTCAGCAAAAGCATTGTCCTAATTGTGGAGGATTTAATCAGTTTAATCTTCAGCAGTAATGCACATCCCTCATACTGTACACTCTCACATCAAGCCTGATCCTAAAATTACCACACAAAAAAAGAAAAAAAGCCTCTGTCACAAGTCGCGGCACGCTTTGATAGAGACATGTAACACCGAACATGCAGCTCTACTGTAGTTTTTGTTGATAACAAAACACACACACACAAAAAGAAAATACTACATGAAAAATTACACTTTCTGAGCATGAACACTGCGGCACTAGACAAAGAAGCCTTCTGAGACAATGTGTGGGATGATAAAAAAGAAAAAAAAGAAGCAATTTATAATAGATATCAAAAGCAGAGGTCTGTAAAACACTGGCAGGTAGAATTATGCTGTGTGGGTACAAAATATTATGCAAAATACAAATATGGAGGGGATATAAAATCCTGTGGAAAAACAGAAATCATGCTTTTTGCCGAAGTGTAATGGAAGCCATTTAAGCAGTCAATGATATCCCCCTTCCTGCCCCCTCTCTGTTAAGCCAACTTCTTCCAAGAGAAGAGCATATCAAATGGGCTTTAGTCTCAACAGCTTGGAGGCAGAACAACTCAAACATGCCCTGCAGAGAGAAAGCTCTATGTCAAAAAATCACAGTCGACCAAAACCAAGCCTTTAGTTTAACGTTCACACGAATCACAGTGTTCCAGATCTTCTAGCTTGAAAGTGCCTCGTTTTGTTTGGATTTTTCAAAAAGACTTGATTATTGCTTTTTGTTAATTTGAACTGAAAAGCAAAGCGACTTCCTCATCGGGAAGACTTCCATCCTCAACCTCTGGCTGTACACCAGATATGAGGACAGAGGGGGGGGTGGAGGATGGATGGAAGGATGCTAGACAAGAGGACAGGTGGAGATGGAGGGAGTAGGCAGATCCCCTCCTCCCCTGGATGTGTGTGTGTGGGTCACAAGCCAAAAGAGATGCTGCAGCCCAAAAGGGAGGGTAGCTCTACCTGAATCACTCTGACATCTCCTGCAGGTGCTGGTTTCTGTGGGGTTCAAATTACACATTTTTAAATGTGGCAGAGTTATGAGAATCAGAATAAACACCAAACATAATGCAGTATGACGGCTAGATCTGAGCAGAAGGTTGAAAGTGCTGGAGGATCTCCGTGCTGCCACCAAAAACACTCTTTATTATGTTTTTAATGTATCCATTTGCAGGTAAGCTGAGCTTGACTGAGACTCCCTGCAAAGATTCACATTTCCTGCCATAGTATTTATTGCAGATTTAAATGGTCGCTCTGATGCAATAGATATTTTCATTATGTGTGCCATATATAATATATTAAACTACAAAAGCCAAGCCAATCCTTTGTATATAACACATATGCACCCTAAAATGCTCGTTCAGTAAAATCAAAATATACGTTTTGGTTAATCTACAGGTTATTTACTGCTTGTTTAACCAACCAAAAGTCCAAAACCTTAAAATAGTTGGTTTACAGGGACATGCAACTTAAATAGTTGCGGACTCGTTTTGCTTCCCTTAAATCTTTCGTGCGGGGAAATCTTCATGCTTGCTTTGGTTACATTTGCTATAACTGGGAGTATGAAAATCAGGTGACTTGCATCAGATGCAACAGAGCATGTCCTCCATAAACTTCTCAGCCGTGGGGGGCGGGATGTCACCAGCATCCGTCCGTGATCACACAGCCACAATCCACAATAAAACAAAATGCACTGTTGCACTCAAAGGAATCTGGAAACAAGCATGCTCGCATACAAGGACAGAAAAGCAGCTAAAGTAAATATGAAATCTGCGGTCTGTGCTGGTGAGCAAACAAACACATTCGGTCTCTTGGCGTCAGGGAAGATGTGCTTAAACAGTAAAGCACCTCGAATAGCTCGAAAGAACATCAGAGAGGAGCAAGCTGTGAATGAACTGCTCTTATCAGCCACGTGCAGCTCGCCACCACTGGAGGGAACGAGCAAATATCACATGCTTAATTATAACTAGACACGCTACTTGTCTCAACTTCCACAATGAGTCTTTCATCTCACACTGTTGTTGCTTCAATGAAATCATTAGGGTGAAAAACACAATCAGAAATTCTGAGATTTCCCGCGGCTGCTCTTTCATAATCTAAGACAATGATTAAAAAGTGATGAAATTCCAGCTACGGAAGCTGGGTTTTTTGTTTTTTTGCACATGAATCAGTAAACAGCGATTTCACGAGGAGCGGCCATGAGAGGCCATCAGCACACCTCGACTAGATGGGGGAAGTCAACGGCAAGAATGGAGAATTTCACTGTTTCCTGAAACACTTCCTGCTGTCCTGCCCTATTGCTCCTCCCCCACTGATCATATCAATACCCGGCATCGGCTTGTCCTGCCAGAAATCCCTTGCTCAGATTCTCCAGTCATAAATCGAACGCTGTTTCGCTCGGGCCACACTTGCTCGTGGTGGGTGGAGTGACACATGTAAGGCATGGTAATGATTCACAGAAAAGAAAAAAAATGGCAAAACAAACTGCAAAAACAAAGTAGGCCACACACACACACACACACACACACACAAACACATCCAGTTCAAATGTCAGGAATGAGTCACTAAACAGCCTGATGGGAAGTACTCAGAGTGCACTCACTGGAGTTCACCAAAGTGTGTGGAGTAAGTGATACAAACAAAGCGCTGGAGTCAGAGAGAAAGGAGGAAGGCTAGAGGGGGAGAGCGGCTGCATGTGGCTGCGAGGTTGAGGATGCAGACGGTTTCAGTGGTTTACACCCTGCTCAGGCTAACAGGAAGTGCTGCAGCGCCACTACCGCTAGCTGGAAGTCATATTGTGCCATAATATAAATATGTATATTTCTTTCTTTTTTTTTAACCGCCGGTCAGTGAATGGTTACGATATTGTTTACAAGAGCCATTTGCTAATTAACTTGTCAGTTTTAAGGTTAGATTAAACACTGATTGAATCCCCTGCAGCGCCCTCGTGTTTTTATTGCCTGGCTGCCCTTTGCTCATTCAAATTCTGTTACCCTTTAAAAGACGCACAGCTGACAACACGGCGGACATTAAACACTTTTCAGCATCACTGAAAGACTGAAAGAAAAAAAGAAAAACTAAACCAGGCCTTTCTGTGCACTCATCCAACTGCATTGTCCTTCCATGACTACACTCTACACCCCCTCCTTCCTCCTCTCTCTTCTTCTCTCCTAATGAGTGGACAAGCAGACAGGCTCTGGCTCCAAGCACAGGTCAACAACTTAAAAAAAGAATCCACAATGGAAAAGTGGGTCATCTTTTCCTGACTGAAAGAGGGACACTGACGCACGTACTCCTAACACCAACATGAGCACGACCTCTCTTACATTTCATAAATCTGAAGGATTTTACTAGCTATACGATGCTGCATAGCCACCAGGGCTCATACAATCATAGTGTAGCATTGTAGCATTTCTATAATTGTAATGTTAAACTGACAACCCTAAATCCTAACTCAAAATAAAACTTAAAACAACCTAAGTGTAATGCACTGCGAAGTGTGTGTTTGCACACACGAAACAGGCAGTCAGTGTAACCCCTATGACAGAACAGCATGTAGGTCAACCTGTGGTCAGCTGATCTCTTCTGATCCTCTCTGGTGCGAGCGACCGGTGTGTTACACTACTACAAAGCTAGAAGCCCGTATTATTAAGCCTGAAATGCACAAATGTCAAGGCACAGCTGAAATGATTATTCCTATTTTAAATGTACTAAAATAACACACTTTAAAGAAACACTGCAGCTAATTGTTGCTTTTTCTTCTTGTATCAATCATAGATCAAAAGCAGTTGCTCAACTGGCCTCTGCTAACCCCCTGATCATCCGCTATGCATACAAACACACTCGCTTAATACGCCAAATAGTTCTGTGCTAGAGAGGCACGTGGAGGGGGGAGCGCACACACACACAGACACACACAGACACACACACTCTCTCTCTGACACTTACCCAGAGCCGGGCAAAGTCCCTGCACATCTCATCTCATTCCCTTCATAGCGCAGAGAAAAGACTCAAGTGTCACAAATGCTCCTGTTTCTGCAGAGGCCAGTGGCAACTCTCAAAGCTTTTTGCTGCTTCCAAGCCTCCTGTGCCTGTGCCTTATCACTCTCACTCTCTGCACAGATCTCTCACTCTGCTCACTCTTTTCTTACTTCCTCTGTCCTCTCCTGTCTTTCTCCCTTCTCTCCCTCTCGCTCTCTTTTCGCTTTCTTTCTCCTTCCTTGCTCTCTGATCTGTCTTTTTCCCTTGTCCAGCGTCTGCACAATGCACATCAATTATTCAGAGGCAGTCTCCCAGTTTCTCCAGCTTATCCAATCAGAGCAGGGCTCTGCACTAATGGGCTCCTGCTGTACCTGCTACCGGCTCCAACACACTCTTGAGACAGCAGAGAGGAGGAGGAGGAGGGGGGGTGGATAGACAAGAGGGAGCAGTGGAGGAGGGAGGATGAGAGGAAGAGATAAAGACAGCGAGGCGACGCAGACAAACAGGACTAGCGATAGAGACGGCAAGATATTTGCAGCGCTTCTCACCTCAGTTGTAAGGTGCCGTTATTGATGTGTAGGCTCTAGCTCTCCATTGCTCTGTCTCTCTAAGCTGTTACACAGTTCACTGTGGAACACACACATGCATGATCCAGCAATGTGACTGCCATTTGTCAGGAAGGGCAAAGAAAACCAGAAGAAAAAAAACAAAACAAAAAAACCCTGCAAGCTCAGATTGCAAACTTGCATAAATGGGTGGAGCTTAAAACGCTGGCTGGAAGCCTACACACGAGGAAGGAAGTGGGAGAAGAAAAAAGATCAATCTTTTCAAAGACAGACAAGAAGTAAGTTATCGGGCTTATCAGAGAGGGGGACTCCTGCCCGCAGGACAATAAAATCTGACAGCGGTCACTTTGCGCATCCAGCTAAGAAGACACACCAGAGACTAGCAGAATATCTGAAGCAGATGAATAAAAATGCGAGGCACACAAGGGTGAATCTGAGTTCATTGTCTTTGCGCGCCCACCTCTTAATAATGAACAGGAAAGACCTAACCCGACGTTGTTCTCGCTGCCCTTACCTAAATGCTAAGATGGGGCCGCACAGTCAAATAAAGAAGAGGGAAAAGCCCACGGGCCTCGTGACAGCTGAGAGAAGTTTTTCTTTTGTGTGGTTTTTGTGCAGCGTACGCAGTCATTAACAGTTTCACAAATGTCCCACGCATAATCGAAACGCACAGACACAACAGAGGCATTGTTGGCCAGAAATATAACTTTAAAAGGGTGTGTCGAAAGCCCCTGGGGGGGAGATGATGGTGGGGGTGTTGGCTGAGGTCCTGAGATGTGGGTGCCAGATCAGTCAACCCTGAACAAAAGGAGGATTTAAATCATTTGCTCATCCGGTTTTGACAAGAACAAAGTCTTCTGTGTGTGTGTGTGTGTGTGAGTGTGTTGAGTACAACTGCACTGTCCTGTCAGCTGGGATATTACTAAAATGAATTCGCTTGTAACTGTATAAACCAAACCAATTAAGGAGTGTGTGATAGAGGGCCCAATCAGCCAGAGGCAGCAAATGCAGCTTCCATAATAAGTGTTTCCCCGTGAGTTTTATTTCTATAAAATTAATAGTAAAGTTCTGAAGGTAGTTTTGGGGGTTGCATCATCTAAAATGAACCACTGGAGAGTGTCAGAAGAGAGGCCCGTCTGCTAAAAATAAACCCAGTTTCCTGTTAATAATTCAGAGCCCTGCACTTACTCAGCAGTAATTAAATATAAAAGTCTGTAAGGTTGATTGGGTCAGTAACAAAGGATGCCTACACCTTCCTCTAGTTGTACATACACATGCACGACTCAAAGATGAAAAGAAAGACAGGCCGAGAAAATCAATCAGGTGAAAGTAAATTGAAGCAGATAAGTGGAAGACATGTCAGATTGTTGTAGGCTAAGAGAAGAAAGACAAGGGTTTGTGTCTACGCACAGGCGCTCACACAGTGTGCCTACACAGAGGCTAATAGGAGGACTCATTCTCTTGCAGTTCTTGTTAAAGTGAGGGAGTTTACTGGCTAGTGAAGTGTGTGTTTTCACAGGACATGGGGGTGAGTTACAGCCACACCCTGGAAGTTTTCTGTCACTGTTGACACAGCAGAGCGGCTGTTTTCCTGATCTGAGCTCTGAGCGTGCTCCGCTGACTGACAGAGAAACACCAGCTTTGCCAATAAATTTCATAAATGTCAGATGCGAGTGGGTGGAAGGGACTCCACCAGCCACCTCCAACAAAGCCTTCTCATCATCGTTTCCTCTTTTTTTCTCAAATACTCGTTCTTAACCAGCTGAATCAGGGAAACTACCCTAACATGCAAAACACAGTGCAACACACTGATCACTTGTGTAGATATTAGTAGATCTAAAATCGCCCACTACACCAATGATAATGCAGTTAGTAGTTAGTTTATGCTCTGCTATGCAGACATATCCATTAAAGCCCAACAGATATAGGACTTTTAAAACCGATACTGATATTTGGTGATTTTTAAGCTAACCGATAGTTTGATATATTAGCTGATATTTTTTTTCTTTCAGACACATTAAACATAAACAGATTTCATTAACATTTGCTATGCGTAGTTACTTATTTACTTGTTTACGCTTGTGCTTGTATTTATGGCATTGCTAACATGGGTCGTGGAAGATTCAAAGCGCCCTCTGGTGGGCAAACAATGCAACGTCAACACTCGTAACATGGTTGAAGGGTGTTTCTCCCACCTCGTCTTTGTATATAAATTTTCATTTATCTGCTGTTATAAGTGCAGACACAGACAGATTAATATCAGCCAGTAATCTCTACCCACCTATACAATTGTTGGGCTCAAGCAAAAAATGAAAAAAAGTCTATGTGTCAGGTACAACTTTGTAAGTAAGAAGCTTAATAAGAAGCATATCTCTTTAGCATGCATTTAATTAATCCAGACAAAGCAGGTATGCGTCACCATGGCAACCAAGTGACCATAGCTTTAAAACATTGTATTTTAATCCAAGGCACAATCTTTTTCTAAACCCAACCTCACAGTTTTAAACCATAGCTCTAACCCAGTAGTTTTAATGTCCAAACTTATTCAGGAAACTATTTTTAAATAATAACTTATTATTTTACAAACTTTTGTGAGACTGTGCAAGTGTATCTCTGTGAAACAGACAAACAGAGAGGAGAGAAAGGAGAGGAGACACAGGTCATGTGAACATGATGTACTTGAGTTTATGACTTGTTATGCACAGCTTTCCAACAAGTGCACATCCATCTAAATTCTCTGGTTGAGATGAAAGCTTTGTTTAGTTCTAACCTTGAGCACCTAGCCATTGTCCCGTGTTCTCCTGGCAACGGTGGTTCTTGTTTTTGCGTTTTCCCCTCCGCTGACTGGAAAAGCACCTTTTCTGTTTTACTGACTTCTCCTTTCACAAACTAAGCAGGAGGAAAAAACCTACTGCTTAAAACTTCAGCACCGGGAACCAGTATTGTGAGTGAGACTTGCTAGTACAGGAGAGCAGGCTACAGGAAAGCTGCTGAAGGAGGGGGTGGGGACTAGTTTGCAAAATCATATATATATATTTATAGCATTACACGAAAGCTAGAGTTAAGTCTATGCCATGTTAAGGCCTGGAAAAAATGTTAAATATGTCATTTTAATGTATGCAGATAAGGTTTTACAGTTCGAATCATTGTTTGGATAGGGACTTTAATCTTCTGTGTAAATTACAATATCACTCGAGATTCCAGTCTAAATAACTATTACTTCTTTGAGTTAGACAAAGGGAAAACAAGCAGCAACCTGTGTGTATCTTAAACATTAAAGCTAAAAAAGCTACCATTCCAGGGAGGAGCCGCCTCTAATCCAGGGCATGTCGAGTCACGCTGGAAACATATACACATTCAAAACAATCCAAGTCACACTTCAGATGTAATCCGAGTACAAACAACAGGAGGAGATATTTTCAAGGAGATGAGGTGACAAGCTGATAACTGCAGACAACTAAAGCTGATCTTGGTGACAATTTGTGAAGCTTTTCCTTCATAAAAGGAAGATAACTAACTCTTTATGAGTTTATATTTAGAGTAGCAGATTCACTGAAAAAGGCAGCAGAAAAAGCTTCGACAGATTTTGTGATTAATCTAATTTCTTATGTGTTGTGTTTTGTGCATTTGTAAGGCGGAAAGTGTGCCTCTATCATCTAATGAACCTCTGAGGTGTAAGCGTATTTGTGCTAGACTACAGATTATTGGGTGTAAAACATAAACACAGATTTACTTAAGTTTATTTTTCTTTAAACCTGAGCTTATAGCATGCCTACTCCAAAAAATAAAAAATAAACATGGAGCAAAACATCAGTGCTAACAATCCTACTATGCTAACAGCAGTAATGCTGTGTATCTTTGCTGGTTCTGAGAGTTAACAGTGCTAATGCTACGTTGCCTAACAGCAGATAGGTCTCTTCTCTGGCTGATTCCAGATTAGAGCAACATACTAATCCCCCAGGCTTCACTGCAGGGTCACAATCTCCAGACAGCTCATCGTCAGCTGCCTGCTGTTGCTGAAAATCTTTCTACTTCACTCGACAGATCTCACAGTCAGCAATTTATACTTTCATACTGTGCAACTATGCCTTTGTACTTTGTTCATGGGTTCAATTACTTGCAAGACACTTAATTGAGACACACAAAAGAGTTTATGTAAATATTAAAATGCAAAATCAGCCTTCTTGGAAACCTAAAAGTTTAGTGATTAGTTTCTAATATGTTCACTCAGCATTTATTTGCATTCATTCTACAGTCATTTGTGGCTTCAGTTTTAAAAAAAACCCACACAAATATAATTTTAAATGTTTTTGTTGAACTGCTCTAATGGACGGTAGGGATAATTGTTTTATCAATTTCTTATTTGACTGATGCTTTCAAAGAAAGTGTCAGTGTGATTGATCTGCAGTCTGCCTCCATCCCTGAGGAGCCTACAGATAGCATCCCAGACTCCTTGGCCCTTGTCTGGGCTCTCAGGTGTCAGATTCACAGGCTTCTGTCGCCATGCAGACTCCAAGAACATTGTGCAGGAGCTGCACAATTAGACACACACGCATGCATAAATGCACGTACATACACACGCGCGCGCAAGGCAGGTGAAAAGACACAAACGACCACACAGACAGCCAACACTTCTCTACATCTCTTTCTGAGCGCATGGATGTATCTTTGATTTCATGCACACATCTTGTCTCCGCTGTCATCCCTTTGTCTGGCTTCTCAGACAGACGTCCTTGTAAGGGAGCTAAGACGGACGCTCAGTGAGTAAGATCTGCCCTGAGTCATATCTGCTTCCCACCCCAGCAGCCTGTCTGCCCTGTTTAATGGCTGGCTGCATCATATCTCACATCCCTCCCCCAACCTCGCATAATTACACTATAGTACCCATTTGTCTCCTGTACATAAACAGCTCTTCCTGAAACCCTCGTGCTGTCTTCTATTAGATCCCAGAACCATCAGCAGGCCTGAAGATGATTCTGACTGTCAGTCGGGCCCAGCCCAGCCCAGCCAGGCAGCCTGCCAGCCAGTCCGTGCCATGGCCTGGACAACAATCATATTATCCCAACGCAGGAACACAGAGAGAGACAGAGAGAGAGAGAAACACAACAATCAATAATGTACAATGACGTCTGTCTGACCACTTAAGTTCCCCCCAACAAGATGCTTCCCGCCACAACTGAAAGCTGATATTCACCCTTAGCAAATGTTCATATCACGGACACTTTGGACAAAAAAACAAAACAAAGCAGAAACTCCCTTCTGTACATTTAACTGCAACACATTTAACTGTAGCCTGTATGAGGAATTATGGGATAAGATTTCAAAACCGTTACTGACATAACTGCAGTTCCTGTTTTCCGACAAATGACACACGTTTAACTTGTCAGAAAAACAAAGAAACCAGACAAAATATTTGACTCTTATTATTCCTACTCATGCAACCGCCGAATAAAGGTTTATCTGTGCTCTGACTGGCTGACAACAGCTTTGTCAGGTTTCTGTCAGGCAGAGCGAGTGGTCCAGCACACATCAGCGACACCTCTCCAGCCATCCATCTCTTTCTCTCTCTCTCTCCTCTCTCTCCCGCCTCTGCATGTTTCACTTTGACAAATGTACAAGAACAGGCAGCTCCTGCAGGACTGTGGGAGGCGGAGAGGCGGGGAGGGGAGGTATGGATCGGGGGAAATTGGATTTGATAGATAAATGTCTGAGGATAGCATTACTGCTCACTCTTTCTCTTTTGGCTTCATGTGTATGTGCGTGTAGGCTGCACGCACGCAGTGCGGAAACACTGTTGAGTGGACTCTTTTTCTCAGGCTACCTCTCAGACGGCTCATCTCAATAGCACATCAATGTTTAATGGGAACTAAAAATAACTTCACATTATAATGCTCCATGGACTTTTTGTGTGATGTTTGTGGTTGCTGGTAGAAATCAACCAACCACAGATTCATGGTGACTTTAACAGACATTTATTTTCTTTTTATTTATTGAAACTATACAGTTATTTAATTAATAAGCTAAACTGTCTGTTAGCATAAGACTTTAAGATGTGATTTTATGATATGTGACTTGTTTTGTATATAAAGAAAAGTTGTTGTTTTTAAGTGATGGGTCTTACCTGCAGATTTAGGAGTGAATTTGTCCCTGTTGGCAGCACATACAGCCAGCAGCCTGTAGCCCAGGTCCAAGTCAAACCCCTGCTGAGCAGCAACACGACTCACCACCTGGAGAAAGAGCAGCGGATTGTGAGTATAGCTGCTGTCTATCTATCAAAAGTCCCCAAGTTGAATTTCTAAATATTCTCGACTGCTGAATTTATTAACTGTGCTCATATTTTGAGCCACTTTTGTAAATAAACTTCATTTCTCTTCAGAAAGAGTGAACGCTCACACACAAATACACACACGAAAAGACAGATAGTAAGATTAATGTGGAGTCTGCAGTCTGGCTCGCTCCAATGATCCACAGTTGGGACGAGTTTGATGACTGTATCCTCCTCCAAGAGAGGCGAGAGTGCCAAACCACAGTCACTCTGCAGAAGGAGCAGAGCTTATGAAGGGTCACCTGAAACAAGTCTGCACTGACCAGGAAGTGAACTGGCCAGAGCGCGACACCCAGCCAGCCGGAGCGTGAGTCAGATGTCCAACCAGATGAGGAGAATGTGGGACTTTTTCATAGTGCTAGTAACTTTTTCTTTTTTATGAGATCATACTGAAAAGTGCAGGCTTTGTTGAATCTATATGCAACAGAGGAAATACTATGTAATTCTGACTGCGCAGAGCCCAATATAAACACACATTCACTAGGAGTTCCCCTGTACTCGCTACCAGGCATCCACCACCCAACTAAAAAAATCAAACAATAAATAAAAAGATCACAAGGTGATGGTGCATTACCAGCTGCTGGCCGGATATTACATTGCCCCAGATGTTCTATGAGTGGCTCAAATGAAAACAGGAAGGTATGCAGTTCCAGGGGATGTCCAGACTAACCTCTGGATAGTCTGCAGAACTGTCTGCTCTGAAAGCACCTGAAATAATAGGTATTGGGGTATTTTTCTGTCGATTCAAGCTTAAGTTAGCGGGTAAATATGTCTAAGTTTTTCTAATCCATCTACTATTAAAACACAAAATTGGAATAGTTTGCACGTTTCTATCCAGTTATGCTTTTACTGCTCTGCCAGTGTGTTTAGGATTATTGCCATGCTGAAAGATGAGGATCTTTGCTGCAATCAGAGGATCTCCAGATGGTAATGCATGGTAAATCAAAATCAGACTTTTCCATCATTTTAACAAGAACCCAAACACCACTGGGTGAAATGCAGCGCAAAGCCACGAGAGAGCCTCCACCGTGTTTAACAGATGCCTGTATACGCTCACTGCTGCACCTCTCTCCCAGTTTCCTCCATATATATTGATATAAAATTTCAAATTTGAGTTTGTCGCTCCATCAGACTGATTTCAGAACAGTCTTATGTAAAGTGGCATATCTCAGCCTGAAGAATGGCTTCTTGACAGTCGCCCTTCCACTGAGACCATTTATAATGAGGCTTCAGTGAACAGTAGATGGATGAACTGAAGGAGCAAATACATCTATTAGGTGGCAGGTTTTAAGCTAACAGTTTTTTGGGAATCATCTTATTGGTGCAAAAATACTTTATGCCTGCTAAGCTGTGTTAACTTTGGCATTTTTTTTATAGATTAAACAAAAAAAGGGAACAAATGATGTGTTTTTGCAACAGGATGCTAGTAACAAGGTGCCAAAAGCTACAACTTAAAACTGGTTCTTTGCTAAGTCGCCTGTTATATGTAGACACAACACTGATTCATCCTGTGAGTTAGGTTCCTTTTTTATGCTTGAATGATTCATAGGCCAGTGTTACAGGGGTAAGCACACTAAAAACCTTCCTCTTAAAATAATCATTTATAATGAGTAGACTTAAAATGAGTCAAAAAGCAGCCAATGTCCAAAGAAAGAAAGAAAATAAGTTTCTCAAAAACACTTTAAACAATTAGAAGCAAGTCTGGCTCCTTGGAAGCAAAACAAAAAAAGAGAGGTGGCTCGACACTTGTGCACAATACTGTAAAAAGCTTGGGAGGTGAAAAAAGAGAGAAAACTGGTGAAATGATGTCAATAATAGGGTTTATTTGATTGTTCCATTCAGGAGAATAAAATATGCAATTCTACACTTCCAGTGCAACTTGCATTATATCCATCTGAAGCTGCTCAGGACACATCAGGATTAAGCAAACTATTCTGACAAACGCTCAAATCATGTTGTTGTCAATGGCTTAATTTCCTGCGTGAGTGAGTCTGCCCTACAGTTTATACAAGGCAGGCAGCCAGTTACAGAGGCTAGCATAGATTCAACATGGATTTAACAGTGTTTCACCTCATAAGCCTTTTTCAGCTTAATCTCCCTCTGAGGATGTGCATCCAAGCACATATTTCTGTCAATATGAAAACAGCGCTGTGAGAGGTGCTGAAAGGGTTAGTAGGCCACTCACTTTCTTGTTTATCTATTTGCCAAAGAGAAAAGGAATCAGTTTTGTAGTTTATTTTTAACTGCTGTTGAAGTCATTCGTGAAAGACGGCTCCTTGTGAACTACGTGGGAGAATTTAGAAAACTGTGGAATCATATACAAAAATAATACATATGTCTGCATCCACTACATTACCGCCCACACATTTTGCATAAATATAAAGAAACAAACAAAACACAAAAAAACCACTACACCTGTCATGTAAAGTGTCATTCTAACAGTGGAATACTTGTTATTTGCGTCATCTCTTCCTGATTCTAAAGCCCCCGGGGAACAGGCGCATCCTCCACATGGAGCATGCGTTCAATTAACAGTCATGTTTAAATTTCTCTTTGGATCTCTGATACACAACCGGCATAGAGACAAAATCCTGAAAGAATGCACAGACTTGTTGCGTGTTTTAATTCTCCAGATAAGCAGCAGTTTGCTCCAAGTCTGACGAAACAATTTAGCTGATGGAAACCGCACCATGCTGAGAGGGATCTCAGTGGGGGGGCTCGATTGTATAGCTCCTTATCGGCCTTTAAGAGGCTTTTATTGTGATTTACACATTAATGAGCATTTGTCTGTTTGCTCACGTGAACGCTTGGACTGGGAACAGCGTTCTTTCAGTGCTGCAAAGGCTTATCTTTGCAATAAACACGTGAAACACGCAGGTCTTTGCTCTAAGGGCTCGCACACACGGCTGCGCATGTAAGTACGTGTGTGAGAGGTTTGTACACACCTGGTGAGAGCCAGCTCTCTGGCCCTGTGCCCAGATCGATGAGCAGCAGCTAGCGAACTGAAAGGCGATAGCCAGAGGTGACTGGGTAGTTACAAACCTCTTCATACCTCTTCTGTGTATGTGTGTGGTTTTGTGTGTGCACAGCACAATGTAGCAGCAGCTGACGACAACTTCTGTCAAGAGCCTAAGCAGCTAGATCACCTCTGGATCCAAATTACAACGTGCTATTAACAGCTTTGTAAAACAATCTGAAATATCTACACGAATATTACATGAAACTTGTGTATATATGATCCTAAACGTCGGCTAAAAGCCTCAGAGGTGGACACATCCATATCCAAATCTAATTACTGTTTTCCTTGTGTTCAAAAAAGTACCTGAAAAACTCAACAAAAACCATAATTAGTGTTTGCGTACCGTCAGACATCCCATGAGACTTTGCTCGAAAGGTCGCTGGAAGGCCCGGGGATCTCCACACCAGTCGAGCAGCTCTGTGGCCGCTGAGTGGAAGTTGGCTGGGTTCTGTAAGTGCTGTGCAAACAGACAGAAAGGAGACTGCTATTAGAGACAATGGGAAATAATGAGTGTTATTTTTTTCGCATTAAGTACAAATTGGAAAAACACTGAACCCAAGTAGTTTTGCAGCCTTGTTCTCCCCCCTTAAACTGCCTTGATTTAATGTCTTGTGTTTCTCCGCAACCCTGTGAGGACCTTGACTCTTTCCAATATACGCCCACTCAGGGCTCAGCCGCAATGTGGGAAGAAGATCACACCCATATCAACAATGATGCCAGTGTTTCTTGTTAATCTCTCTTGGCAACACCCATCCCTCACCCCCATGACCCACACAGCAACCAAATCTTTCCCTCCAATTCTCCTTCTCTCACTTCCCCTCATTCCCTGCCTGTTCTCAGTGTAACAGAGCCCAGGCACCATTACTCCACTGGCTGACTTGGCTGTGCACAAAGAAAACAACCTTGGTCCTGGCAGCTATGTGTGCAGACTCAATACGAGCCGTTGGTGTGTTGTCTAATCTCTTTGAGTCTCTGTCTGTCTCTCTCGCTTGTTCACTGAGGCCTGAAACAGTTGAGTCTTTTCTTCCCAGTGTCTGAAGGCTACTGAGGCTGGCAGGACACAATAAGCGGTTTTAAAATTGGGCTCCCTTTCTTCACGGCTCAGGAGGTTAATAGCTCTGAAATGGCGCAGAGCTGCAGCTCGTTCACTCGGCGAGATTGAGCCCACTTGAAAGCATTTATTATTCTCATCTAGAGCTGAAGCGTTATGTTTTGTGTGCTCTTGGAAAGAAGGTAGAACTATTGTCTTTAGGGGGCAGCAGAGGTGAGCATTTCTGAAAGGGCAGCTTTCTGGCAATGTGTGACAAAAGGGACTCCTCGTTGCAAATGCGACGTGTCAAGCCGGTGCCCGCCCACTGAGAAAATCTCTGAGAGCGTCCAACGATATCATGGGCTTCAAGAGAGGCCTTGAGTGACTCATCTTTTGTGATGTGAAGATTAGGCATTATAGAGTTAGTTGTAGACTCTCACAGGAGTCTGACTGATGACGAAGAAAAGGAGAAAGAGTGAGAGAAAGTGAGAGATGCTCTCGTCGAGGTTCAGTGAGAGGGAGGAGAAGAGCCTGCTCTAGATGAGTGATATAATCTGGCATTATTGCTGCTTGATGGGAGGCGTATCAACCTCCAGCGCGAGAGGAATCAGAACTAGCACAGCAGGGGCTGTCTGTCTAGATCTGAACTCACAGCTCCTCCTGCCGCAGCGCTCGCCACCAACTCTGCCTGACAACCTCGACTCTGGTGTGAGGGGGAGGACAGCGGAGTGAAACAGCTCAGCTGAGTTTCAGGAGGAGGATGGGGCCTGAGCTGTTCTTGTTGTTGTTTAGGGTTGGATGAGGACAAGAACTGGGAAGCGAGGGAGAAAGAAGAGCAGCTGCAGCAGTGATGGGGCTTTAACACACCAAGAGACAGACGTCTGACAGACTGTCCTCAGCGAGATGACGGACCGGTGTACTCCTCTTTTTAGGCCAGCAGTGGTTCAGGCTGTTCAGTGCTTACCTGGCTGCATGAAAAAAACACGACACAGAAAAGGGCATAACAGCTTGCTCTGTGCCAGCGTCTTTCCCCAAACCAAAACAACACCCTGCTAGCAGAGCTACCACAAGCTCAGCGCTCAATGACTAGCTCAGAGCCTTTGAAGTCAGGTTTACTACAAGCTCCATTACAGCAAAAGCTGAGGAGTACATAAAACAAACTACAATTAGTGCGTTTATTAAGCCAGACGTGTTAAATCCGCCTATTACAGGCTTATCGGTGACGCCAAGGAAAGTAAGCGAGGGGGATTTTAGACGTGAGCAGTGTCAGTTACTTCAAATTGTATTCACTTGAAATGAGCTGACGTTTCAAAAAACAGAGCCTTTCCAAGATTTGGTGTCGTGCAAAAGAGCCGAGGCGATCTGAGCCTGTTCAGATGGAGGTTATTATGAAAGGTGCGCAGGAGTTTAGGAGGGAACGCGGGAATAAGGGGGTGGAGGTGGGAGGTTCAACAATGGGTAAAGAGAAATTGCAAAAAATCACAAGCTAAGAAGCTCCATCATTCACTGAGTCACTCTAAGGCATGGTGTCATATGGATGTTTTCAGATATAAAGCATCACACCCACGTAGCATAAATGAATATGCCCACAGCCAGCCAGCTAGCCAACCAGTCTATGAGCTCTTGTAGACGATTAATCACAGGCAGAGGCGGTAGCCCTGGGTTATGTCTGTCTGTATATATGTGTGTCTATGAGGAGTCTCCTGAAAGCTGACAGTCAAAGAAGTATTTAAGCAAAACCACAACAAGGGTAGGCAAACGTCAAGAGTCAGGAACGTGAAGTAAGGGAACACAGGACCAGGAGAAGAAGGGAGGGGGGCTGTTATGTTGCTAGTCGCTTTGAAGTCTGTTCCTGTGTTAGCTGCCAGATTTGCCTCCCCCTCTCTCTCTCGCTCTATGACCCTGTGCAACTTGATCTGTGTGACTGGAGCTAATGGCCAGAAAAACTGATGCCCAAATAAGGTGCTGAGGGGAGAAAGTAATGCAGGAAGGATGAGGAAATGTACATTCTTCTGTCTTTGCCTCTAAAAACTGTGTCTGCAAAGGAGTAAAACAAGGAGGAGAGGGGGCTTCTACACACTGCTCTGCATACACACCTGTTTGATGCACTGCAGCCTGTCATTGGTCTGCTGGATGTGCCGGTCCATTGATGGTAACGTGTTCATCTTGACGTCTCTATCGGGACTCCATTAAAGAGCTCTTTTACTCTGTAAAAGAAGAGGATGGGGAGAAGTACAACTGTTACAACAGGTTTCTGTCAGGTCCCCCAGTGCGCGCAGAGTTTGCAGGCTGTAAATTTCAAACAGTAGCTCAAGAAATGTTTCAAACTGAGAAGCCAGCTTGTTTACGCGCTGACTCACTGAAGGGTTTGATCAGCCTCGAGCGCATATTTTTGGCAAATGCACGAAACTGAGATGTCCTGCAGCAGCAGCATTAATGACAAACGGAAACACGATGAAACTGAAAGGAAACTTTTGCAGCTTTTTTGCTAACTATGTGAGAAAAGTCTCACACTGCAAAAGAGAAAAGACAGCTGTTAGCAACCCTCAGAGCTGAAGTTATCATTGTGCCGTAGACAAACAAATCAAACAGAAGATAAGGTTCCTCTTTTTCTCTTTCTTTGCAACAACATGAACAATTGCCACCGTGCGTTCACTTTTCTGAGCATCTCAGAGAAATATGCTGAGATTTGGATTAATGGGTATCGTGCTGATTTGCCAGCGAAGCCCCCGTCCCTCACCATCCCTCTGTGTTTATCTCTATCAGTATTGGTCCGCCTCACATTCCTCCACACAAAAGGCCAACAGAGAAACCACAGGTGGGGGTGGAAAGCTGCTCAGCACTGATAAAGGGTCCCCCAAGATCCCCTGCTGCGAGAAACAGAGCGAAAGAACAAACACGATCGAAACACAGTGCTCAGCCTGAGAGTTTTCATCTGTAGCGCTCAGTCTTGTGCACCTATCTTAGAAAGAGCACAGCAATATGCACACACACTCTCTCTTACACACACACGCGCGCGCACACTCTCGCACTTAAGAGCATGTAAACACAAAAGCTTGAATTCTTCACTTTGATTAAACGTAAAGGTAAAACTTCAAAGCAACACTTTAAGAATAAGACTGTATTACTAATCCTCCGAGCTTAAGCATTACCAGATTAGAGTTACACAGAGTGCACTTACAAAGTCTTGAACATCACCAATACACTGCTTGCATGAGTAACAAGGAATTCTGGAGCAAATGTTGTGAAATGCCTGGCAGGGAAATGTCTCATCGCGCTGCACGGTGTGGGCGCTGACTGTCCTGAGGAAACTGCTAAATCTGTAGAGTGCGAGCCACAAAGTCACTCTGACTGTGCAAAACTTGACCCCTAACTTTGTGTGGCCTAATTCTGCCATGCTGCTGTGCCTCCCAGCGTCCAGCAGATGTCTCCCTCTCCTGCTGCTAACCAGCATGTCTCTTTTTATACACTACACCTGGAGCAAGTGGTCCAGAGAGGCCTCCTTTAAGCCCTGACAAGTGCTACAAATCCCCCTTCAGCAAGCAGGCAGCTCCACAGACCGCTAACAGGGCACGCTTCAGCCCAGCGCTGGCCGTCTGACCTTGTGGCTATTGATTAACTGTTTCTCCTCCAGCTCCCCTTCCTGCTGTCCCAACACATCAAGACTAGAAAGAAAAGAGGAGGGCCGGGGGCTTTGGGGTGGAGATAGCTACATATTTTAACCATCTTTCCCTCCTTCCCTCTGTTGCACTTTCACAAGGTCCAACACACACACACACCCTTCCCCTCCCCATCAACATACAGCTCTTTTGTTAGTCGATGAAAAGATGGGCCCTGAGGTTCTGAAAGGAAAATGAGGTGGAAATGTGACTGGTTGGCCAGGCTGCGCTCAGTCAGCGGCATTGTAACTGAGACTAGAAGCCAATTCACCTGACTGACCGACCGTCCGCGCTGTCAGACCACCCAGCAGCACACGCCCGTGTAATGTGTTGCATAACAGATGATGCTCCATTGTAGACGGAGCAGAACATCTCCCAGTTGCCCCACATCCTCACTCCTCCTCCTGTACTTTCAAAACAAAACACGCTAATCTGTTATCTGATCACTGGGAGGGGAAGCTAAATGTTTTACCGCAAAATGTTGAAATCTCTGCTCTCAGTTTTCCACAGATTCACTGATTAGGCTGGAAAAAAAAACCTTATGTGTGTGTCTTAGTGTAGCAGTTGACTTTTTCCCCCCTCCTTTCCAGAGTTATATTTTTCTGTTTTTGGGCAACTTCCATCATTGTTTGAGCATGCACAAGCCACAGACAGACCTGCTTAATCTTTATTGTCTTCCCAACATCTTAATCAGCAACAGTCAGCACTGCTTACCTGAGGTGCAAAGGAAAGCATTACACATCCAATTATGATGTGCATATTACGACCTCTCTACAAAAAAGCAGTGGGAGGATGCTGCTATGAATCAGTGCAGAGTAAGAGCAAAATATAAGCAGTGCTAACATCCAAGGAAGCTTGTGTTCTTTTTTTTGTTGTTTCCCTCCTTCTCTTTCTGTTTCTGAGCGAAAACGAGCTGGGAGAAACGGGGCAAGAAATAAGCAATCCTAAACAAAAGCACAGTGATATGAAAGGCCCTGAAGAATGGCAGGAAGAGGGCAAGAAGGGCTAGGCTCGGTAGAGAGAAGAGACAGAGAGAAACAAAAAAAGAGAGTGTTGAAATGATCTCTTCATTATCAACAGCAGCAGCACGCACGTGCACAGACACAGCGTACGATCGCTCATAGCGCGAGTGATTTCTCATTTCAGACAAATGACTACCACCTTTGTCAAGTGCAGCGAGCTTTGTGAATGTGATCGGTCGTTACACGGAGGCAGCTGTGCAGGAGCTTGTGACACATCGCAGTGCTGTGCATTGCGTGGGAGTACATTAGGAGCAGGGTTGGATGATATGGTTGCAATCAGCGCCTTGATAGGTCAATCACAGTATTCTCCAAAATCAATGCGCAAGCAGTGAGATGCTAATGAATGCAAAATTACCTGCGCAGACATCAGCTGACGTTACAAACTAAAACTGTAGAAACTGTGTGCTGTGCACTGATGAAAGAACAGGCCCCTTTGCTCCCTCGAGGGCCAATCTGACACTCACTTAAATAATCTGTTCACACACACTTAAAAAACAACTAAACGTGTTAAGCACATTTAAATATGTTATAGGTTCATAGCGTGCCAGTAATACATAATAATAGGTCCAAAGTTAGCTTTAACTCTGTGGTCACAGAGCATTACTCATAATCCCATATGACTTTTTGATGACTTGCTCATCATCTTTACAAAGGCTGCATTGTTTCTGTCAGTCACTGCAAGTCGGCAGTTGGGTCCTTACAATTCGCTTTTGTACTTTAGACAAAAGGATGTAAATGAGATGACGAATGAAAAGATTCATGTGCAAGATAAACTCTTTGTGGGAGTATAGCAGGACCTTATAATTTATTTTATTAGTTCTTAATTATAGCCTGTTGATAAATAATAGTGATGTAAAATTATCTGCCTTATTGAGGACCCAAACTTCTGTAGCTACGCAAGCTGTAAGTGCAACATGCTGTCGCCGCTTCCTTGAAATTTCTTTAACGGTTTTTAAAGTTGAAGTCGGAAAAGGTTTCACGGTGCCTCGGGACGGGTCTATTTCAAAATAATGAAGGGCTTTTACATAACCACGTGGAAAATTATATACTGCTTTAATGCTGAATCTATGCTGTAGGTGAAGTGCAGAGGGGAGTTCTGAACAATGACAAAAAAAGAGCAATCTGATGAAGTCTGACCAGCGATCAACTTCATTTTGAAAAGGAGAACTCAGTTCTCTGGACTCAGCGGGGGATCTTCACTCCTCCTCTTCATCTTCAGTCATATGGCCACAGATTTTCTTTTCGCTCTCCTCTCCTACAGCCCCCCAAGACATCATTAGAGCCACCCAGCATGCGAGTCCCTTACACCACCTTCCATTTTCCATTCTATCATTTTCTTCTCCCCATCCCTCATATCTCAACCCTCCTGCCACTCTTCTTTCCTCCCTCACTCCCTCCCTCCCTCCCTCCCTCCTCCTTCCTGGGGCCCCGTGTGGGAGCTGCCATAACAGGAGGTGGAATGGATTCATTTGCTCTAATGTGGTTTGGGCTGCAGCGTGGCACGGCACAGAGCGACACTTTATCCCAGTGCACTGAGCTTCTCTCCCTCTCTTTCTCTCCCTGTGTGCAGTTCATGTGTTTTCAAACAGGCCAATCAACACCACTCAGCTGTGATGGCCTCTCTTTACCTCTCCCTCCCACAATCTCTGCTCTCAGTATGTCTGTAAAAAAGCCACCAGCCATTTCTCTCTCTCACACACATACACGTTATTATCTTTAGTGGCAAACTCACAATGCCATACAGTAGCTATTTTCTTTATATTCTCCAGTCCACTCCATTTTGTTGTCAGCTTTCTTCATTTTTTTCTTTACAAACCTCTTTGCATCTTCATATCTTTGTTTTTCTGCCTTGTTTCTGTCTATTTTGTTGACTCCCTGCTAATCCTCTCCTCCGCTAATCTCTACCCTTCTCCTTTTCCCTCTCAGCAAAGCCAACTATTAGTCATATCGCTCCCTCTGGGCTTTATAAAACTCAAACCCTCTACACCATCACAACCACCAGCCTCTATAAAAATGTGAAATGACTTGTCCCAGGGGTGGAAAAAAATAAACTCTAAATGTTGCTGTTTGTTTATCTTCTGTTTTAATGTGACAACCACAGGAGCACCGGGCAGCTATGTGACACCCAACACTGCAATGCAAACAGCTGTGATGTGGGGATATGCGAGCGGCTCTGCTGCCGTCTATAAATATGGAGCTTCTGTTGTGGAATATTACAGGTATGCACCACCAGATACCCCCGGGAACAGACGATTATTTCACCACTCTATATGTAAGTTCAAAAAAGGAGCACCATGTGCTAAGTGAACGGAGAACTGAATCCTATAATCTTTTAAGTTAATTTTAATTAACACAGTCATGGTGATGACAGCTGCTACAATTAGTTACCTTTTAAATTTATTTTTAGATTAGATTTATTTTTCTGTTTATAAGGTGAAAAATAACTTTTCATGAGTTGCAGTACTGTGCAAAGGTCTCAAGCCATTTATATATTGATTGGAAAATAGGAAATAGGCACAGCAGTTT